TTCCCTGATATTCTAATACAATAGGTTCACACTCACATTTACAGTTCTTGATTATACAAGTTCACACATAAAAAAAAGAAACTTAGTATTTATATTGACATTTCAAAGTATTCAATTTAAAAAAAAAAAGGCAGTACCTATATTGATATTTCAGAGCATTTACGTTTAAAATACAACATCAGTATTTCAGGCAGATATTTCAAAGCACTGATGATAAGAGGTCAGTATTCTGTGACCGGGCCAATTATTGTTCTGGTTATAATTTGTAACATTGTTTTTTCCTTTTTGGGTGTTGTTTTTGTTTTGCTGATGAAGGCTTGTCACTGAAACAGCCTCCTTTTTTTGTGATCATGTTCTTGTGAAGCTGACCTCCTCACTTCTTATTTAAACCTTCAATCATTGGATCTCTAGCAGTTAACCTCACATATAACATTAACATATTTTCTACACACACCTTGTTACCACAAAACAAATTGAAAAAGACACAACTATCTCAAAAGAGATACCGGAGATAAAGTGAATTACAAAAACCACAACCCCTTGTTGGCTACGACAAGAATGACATCAAATCTTCAAGCAGACTTCATAACGAAAATTATTTGCCCTATTCGAAAAAAGTTCATGAAGTCAAGTTTCGAGATGTCTCAAAAAGTCCTCGTCGAAAGAACGGTTCAAAGTCCAGAAGAACTTGCTTGGTGATGTATCTGTTCTTTGCTGGATTCAGTGGACATTCGGGGATTCTCATGCATAGTTCTATAGCATGTCGGACATACTCCTGGGAGGAGAGAAATATATTCATTTAAACAGTGGACATTCGGGGATTCTCATACAAAGTTCTATAGCATGTCGGACATACTCCTGGGAGGAGAGAAATATATTCATTTAAACAGTGGACATTCGGGGATTCTCATACAAAGTTCTATAGCATGTCGGACATACTCCTGGGAGGAGAGAAATATATTCTTCATTTAAACAGTGGACATTCGGGGATTCTCATACAAAGTTCTATAGCATGTCGGACATACTCCTGGGAGGAGAGAAATATATTCTTCATTTAAACAGTGGACACAATGATCCTCATGCAAAGTTTTTCATTTAAAGAGGGGTACTCTGAAATTCTCATGCATAGTTCCATAGCATGTCGGACATACTCCTGGGAGAAGAGAAATATATTCATTTAAACAGTGGACATTCGGGAATTCTCATACATAGTTTTTTTATTTAAAGAGGAGACACTCGGGAATTCTCATGCATAGTTTTTCATTTAAAAAGAGGACTCTCAAGAATTCTCATGCATAGTTTTTCATTTAAAGAGAGGACATTCAGGAATTCTCATGCATAGTTTTTCATTTAAAAAGAGGACTCTCAAGAATTCTCATGCATAGTTTTTCATTTAAAAAGAGGACTCTCAAGAATTCTCATGCATAGTTTTTCATTTAAAGAGGGGACACTCGGGAATTCTCATGCATAGTTTTTCATTTAAAGAGAGGACATTCAGGAATTCTCATGCATAGTTTTTCATTTAAAAAGAGGACTCTCAAGAATTCTCATGCATAGTTTTTCATTTAAAAAGAGGACTCTCAAGAATTCTCATGCATAGTTTTTCATTTAAAGAGAGGACATTCAGGAATTCTCATGCATAGTTTTTCATTTAAAAAGAGGACTCTCAAGCATTCTCATGCATAGTTTTTCATTTAAAGAGGACTCTCAAGAATTCTCATGCATAGTTTTTCATTTAAAGAGGGGACATTCAGGAATTCTCATGCATAGTTTTTCATTTAAAAAGAGGACTCTCAAGAATTCTCATGCATAGTTTTTCATTTAAAAAGAGGACTCTCAAGAATTCTCATGCATAGTTTTTCATTTAAAGAGAGGACATTCAGGAATTCTCATGCATAGTTTTTCATTTAAAAAGAGGACTCTCAAGAATTCTCATGCATAGTTTTTCATTTAAAAAGAGGACTCTCAAGAATTCTCATGCATAGTTTTTCATTTAAAGAGAGGACATTCAGGAATTCTCATGCATAGTTTTTCATTTAAAAAGAGGACTCTCAAGCATTCTCATGCATAGTTTTTCATTTAAAGAGGACTCTCAAGAATTCTCATGCATAGTTTTTCATTTAAAGAGAGGACATTCAGGAATTCTCATGCATAGTTTTTCATTTAAAAAGAGGACTCTCAAGCATTCTCATGCATAGTTTTTCATTTAAAAAGAGGACTCTCAAGAATTCTCATGCATAGTTTTTCATTTAAAGAGAGGACATTCAGGAATTCTCATGCATAGTTTTTCATTTAAAAAGAGGACTCTCAAGCATTCTCATGCATAGTTTTTCATTTAAAGAGGACTCTCAAGAATTCTCATGCATAGTTTTTCATTTAAAGAGAGGACATTCAGGAATTCTCATGAATAGTTTTTCATTTAAAAAGAGGACTCTCAAGCATTCTCATGCATAGTTTTTCATTTAAAGAGGACTCTCAAGAATTCTCATGCATAGTTTTTCATTTAAAGAGAGGACATTCAGGAATTCTCATGCATAGTTTTTCATTTAAAAAGAGGACTCTCAAGCATTCTCATGCATAGTTTTTCATTTAAAGAGGGGACACTCAGGAATTCTCATGCATAGTTTTTCATTTAAAAAGAGGACTCTCAAGCATTCTCATGCATAGTTTTTCATTTAAAGAGGACTCTCAAGAATTCTCATGCATAGTTTTTCATTTAAAGAGAGGACATTCAGGAATTCTCATGCATAGTTTTAAAGCATGATGGACACATTCCTAGGAACAGAGAAATATATGGTTTATTATTTAAACAGTGGACACTTGGATTCTCATTCACAGTTCTATGCCCTGGTGGACATGCCCCTAAACAAAACAAAAAAAGAGAGAGAAATATATTGCTTATTGAAACAGTGTATCTTTAAGGACTCTCACGGATATTTCTGCCACAGAATCTGGAATTGAATAATGGATTGTCAGCAGAGCAGTCAGAAATTATGTGAAAGCTGCAAATATTTGGTTTTATAAAAGAATGATAGAAGAAAACAAGCAGATAACAAATGTTAACAGAAACAATGCTGCAAACGTATGGTTTTATAAAAGAATGACTTAAAGACTATAGGCAGATAACAAATGTTAACAGAAACAATGCTGCAAACGTATGGTTTTATAAAAGAATGACTTAAAGACTATAGGCAGATAACAAATGTTAACAGAAACAATGCTGCAAACGTATGGTTTTATAAAAGAATGACTTAAAGACTATAGGCAGATAACAAATGTTAACAGAAACAATGCTGCAAACGTATGGTTTTATAAAAGAATGACTTAAAGACTAAAGGCAGATAAAACAAAAAAAGAACTGCATTTCTAATGTCGGACTGTTTGTGTTAGCACTTCGGATGGCTACCGTATGCTTTTAATGTGTGTGTATGCTAGTGTATATGCTGAGACAGAAGTCTGTCAATCTTTCCACAAGGGACTGTGATAAACATTCTGTGTGTTTTTCGTTGGCACAGGAGCAGAGCAAAGATGGAGTGACCTGTTTGTTATGAAGCTGAAACTAAGATTACCAGATTACTATATTACCAGAACAAAAGTAACGAAAACAATCAGACATGCTTTCCTGCATTAGAAACAGAGAATCCACATTCTTCCGGCACATTAGGAGGGACAAAAACTGGGGTACATCATGACATGAAAGTTAGAGGCGAGGGGAGGCAGGAGGAGGCTAACAAAGAAGATGTTACTTTAGCAACTGAGGTATGCAACAGCATCTATATTAGAAATGATTGATAGTACACATGACACTAAGCTGTCTGTCGTCAGATAAAATGACTCCCCTGTGTGGGTTCTGAGGCTCTGTGTTGGGGAAATGTCTAGGGCCACTGTTCCCTGACAAGCATGTCATACAAGGCAACTAATCAGTGACGTTTCCATCACAGTCAGGGTGCATCTGCCTGACAGGCGAAGAACCAACAGTCTGCAAACAAATAAGGTGGATCTGTAAAATGGATACGCATGCAAATCTTAAGTTCTGGAACAAGACCAAAGTCCAGATGTAGACAAACAACCAGAACTTTCTGCTGGAGTTTACAGCCAGAAGAAAAAAATAAGATAAACAATGACACATGCATAGACTAAGATGAATTCATCAGCTAATCATAGCTCCATCTTCATGGCAAATAGATGACCCCATATTAATTCTGGGAGCCACTGTGGCATAGCGGCTAGACACTCGCGTGTAGATCGGAAGGTCGTGGGTTCGCTCCCTGGCAGAGCCTGACTTTTTTCAAAAATGACCTTGGCTCCCAGGTCGACCCAGGCTTGAGTGGGTACCGGGTGCAGTCCTGGGAAGTAAAGGCGGCCGGCATGATGCTGACCACATCACCCATCTTGTGCCGATTGGTCAATAAAAATTTAGGTCTAGCCCTATATGCCTTATAGGCTTAAAGACGTGGAAAATGGACCTTCACTTTACTATATTAATTCTGCTCCTGTGCTGCAAACACCACAAAGAATGCCCTTTGCTGTCCCTTGTGACAAAATTTTAACAGAGTCTCAGCAAAATCAATATCATACACGGTCATTGAATGCTTAAGGCAGCCATAAGATGTGCCAACAAAAATAGTCTACCACAAGAGTTGCAGTTCCCTACTTATGGAAGTAGCAAAAATAAACCAGAAGTGCAAATGAAATTTATCACATAAGGCACACCAATTAGGTTGCAACAGGTCACTGGCCAAGAACCAGGAGCAACAGCTAGATGACAGCATGAATACATGTATCTGTCATGACAGCATGAATACATTTATCTGTGATGACAGCATGAATACATGTATCTGTGATGACAGCATGAATACATGTATCTGTGATGACAGCATGAATACATGTATCTGTGATGACAGCATGAATACATTCATCTGTGATGACAGCATGAATACATTTATCTATGATGACAGCATAAACATATTTAACTGTGATGAGAGGAACTCTGCACTTACTTCTAGAAGGGTCCTCCTCTCTGCTGCTACTTTTTTGTTTTTGTGGAAGAATCGCCTCGGAGGGAACACAAGCTGGTTTATCTGAGAACAAACACAATTGTATGCAAAGGTGATAAACATAATGGAACTAGGTGCACAAATTGTGAGTGTCTGCCAACTCCATTCTCTTTCACTCTCTTTCACTCTCTTTCAGTCCCTGTCAGTCTGTCACTATCTCTCTCTCTTGCTCACTCACTGTGTGTGTGTCTTTCTGAGTCACTTTGTCTTTCATTCACTCACTCTGTGTGTCTCTCTGTCACTCTCTCTGTTGCTCACTCAAGTAAGAATACACTTGTCCTTCTTTTCTATTGAGCTTTAGTCCCAGTTTGTGATTTTGTTTTCAGTTACTTCTCTATACCAGCTGAACTGCAGTTACCCCTATTTTATACAGACTAATGGCTGACAAGACAGACAAATGGGTTACAGTTTGCAGACTGACTGACAGATAGCTGACACAGACAAATGGATGATAGGCTGCTGACAGACTGACAGAGAGATGACATGCAGACAAAAGGATTACAGACAAACTGATAACTGACATGAAGACAAATGGGTGGCAGGCAGCAGATAGACTAACAATCTGACTCACAGACTGGCTGATAAATAGCTGACTGGCAGATAAATGGGTGACAGACAAACTGATTGACTGATGGCTGACAGACAGAAAGAATAATATTAGGAGGAAATAACATTCTTACCACTGGGTATTTCTTTTTGAGGGCGTTGTGCATTTCTCGAAAACGACTGTAGCGGCGGAAGATACACCAGGACTCATCACCAATGGTGACCTTGATCAGGTATTCGTAATGCAGATCTCTGCCACTTCCTCTCAAAACAAAGGTCGGAACTTCAATGTTCAATACAGCTGGCGGCTCAGCAAAGGTCAGCTGACGGATCTAAGACACATAAGTTAGTGAACGTATTAACAGAAACTAGCTTGGGTTTCTTCGGTTTCTTTCTTCTTCTTCACTACGTTTTGTTACTTCATCTAAGTGTAGGGGGAGATGTAAGGATTTTCTGTGTTCTCTTTCCAATGTGCTGTATAAGTTAGTCTCATTTCTTCATGGCTGTTCTTGAGTCCATCACTCAACGCTCTTTGTCATCTTTCCTCGCTCTGTGACAATTATATATCTTCACTGTAGCTCTCTGTGACAGCTGGTGCTTAGACCATTCTCCTCAGACGACCAAACCATCTCATCTAATAAACTGGTTTCATGTCTAGTATCCGTCTAATTTCTTTGCAATTACCCCTCTTCTTGTTATTCTGGCAGCTCTTCTAAGACATCCCATCTTTGCTGTTATGATTTTGAGCTCATTAGTTTTAGCAAGGGCCCACATTTAACAATTATTTTTATTTTTTGTATTTTCAAAGAATGTGAACTGCATTGTATTTGTCATGACACAGACAGAACTGTATCAATGCTGTTTAGCAAGACACTTGATGATGCTGACTGCCCACAAAAATCTACTGTCTTTAAACTGTCATTATTGTCCATGTTTGCCGCTTTTTAGGCTGACACAGGACGGGAAAAACTTGGTGGGGACGAGGTATTCTTGAGACTGAGGATTTAGGGCAGCATGCTGGCGCTATGAACCATGCAGTAATTTATGCGCTAGAGAAAAAAAAACGTCCACCATCTCTTCAAGGATTTGAACCCAAGTCGCCAAGATGACAGCCCAGCAACTTGGCCAGCCACTTGCACAAAGCACAGACAAATAGTTAAATATTTGCTACAAAAGAGTCACTACAAATATACAAGGTTTGACAATTAAGTAATGAGACTGATTTTATTACAGCCAAGACAAAAGTGCCATCTATGAAGCAAAGAATGGAATCCAAAGAGGCAACCTTCATCTATGATCTGACAACTTTGCATCGCCTCTTGTCACGAAATCAGCATAGAACAATAAGCTAACCCCCCGTGTGGGTTCCTGGGCCCCATTGTGGGGAAAACAAGAATAGACCCACTGCCTCCCCAAAAGCATGTTGTAAGAGTCAACTAATTGGGGAGCTTCCTTTGAAGACGGAGTGCGTCTGCCGGAGAGGCAAGGAACCAACAGTCTGTATTCAAGAGAATGAGATCTGTAAAACTGATGCACACGCAACACTCAGGTTCTGGAGCAGGACTGCAGTTCAGTAGTGGACGAGCAACCAGAACCTTCCGCCAGAGTTTACAGCTGGTGAACGCGAAGAAGAAGAAGAATAAGCTAACATTAAATTCTGTTTCAAACTCAGAAAAAGTGCCATTGAGACAGTTGAAAAGATGCAATAAGTTTATGGGGATTATTTGTTAATCTGGTGCACAGATTTTCAGGTGGTATTCACAATTCAAAAGTGGTGTAGAAATTATTACTAATGCAACTAGACCTGGAAGCCCAATTTCTGTTTGTAAGGAGGAACTCATTGCAAAAGTCACAGAACAGATAAAAGAAGATCGTTGTTTTACTGTCAGGATGATGGCAGATGAATCTGGTGTTAATAGAGACCATTCGTAAAATTTTAGTGCAAGATTTTGGGAAGAAAAAAGTTACTTGCAGATTTGTACCCCTTTCGTTGTCTGATGGCCAAAAAACATCAGCGGGTTGAGTACCCAAAAGACATCAACAAAACAGGAATTTTTGGTCCCAAAACAAGTGTAAGTTCTCAGCCATTCACCCTGTTCTCCAGATTTGTCTCCCTGTGATTATTTTCTATTCTCAAAATTAAAGTTACCATTCAAAGGACACTTCTTTGACAATACTGATGACTTTCAAAGGGCCATAACATCGACTTTAAGGGCCATAGCAACAGAAGAACTACAGAGGTTGTTCCAGTGTCTGTTAGATTGTGCTACTCACTGTATCAATGCACAAAATACATGTTATATCTTCAACAGTTTACTATTTAAATTTTTATAGAACTAGTCTCATTACTTAATTGTCGGACCTTGTATAGAGAGAGATATGAAACGTACTAACACATCACATACCAGGTTTTTCCGCTGGTCAGTTGAAGTAATCATCTCACACGACTGGAAAAAACATAAATTCAATTAACGTTTCACAGTGGAGGCTATTTATTTAGGGAGTCTTTTTGGTCAAGCCATTCGCTTCATGCTCTGAAGGTCGTGGGATAGTTTCACGGATGCGCCATTTGGTTCAAGAGTGCAATTTCATGGAGGTCCGGGGAAATCACAGCCGTAGCTATGCATTATGTGCTTTGTGCTATACTTTTAGCAGGTAGCTAGATGTTCTCTACAGAGAGATTGAACCATACATGATGAAAGCCAGTTATCAACAGTCCTATCAAACACTACCTTGTATACTTGTTCTGTTGCCCCCTGGTTATGCCATAAAATGTCACAGAGAGGAGTTACATGTAGTCTCCTGTTTTTTACTAGTTATGTAGCTTGTGTTAATGTCCTATTGCATTTCTGTAGTGTCTCTTTTACTCTACCCATCTCTTTCTTGGTCGACCTCTTGCTTTGTAGCCTGCTGCTCTTATGTTTACACTCTAGCTGCTGTCTGATTTTGTTTCATTCTGACAAGAGGACCAACCCATTTGATTCATTGGTGTTCTATGAAAACATTTACCTGTACTCCCTCACACACGATGTAACTAACTAACTTTAAAAATGTCCATAAACCACATCTGTTGAAATATGTATGCTTTTTTTAAGCTGACTTATATGAGGGAGTCACATACAGAGGGAAGCAGACTTTATATAACTCCCTCATATACAGTCCTGCAAAACAATTTATATATTCTTCAACAGATTTCATCTGTGGACATTTTAAAAGTTGGATCAAATTATGAGTCAGTATAAAATATGAACTTCACCATGTAGATGAAACAATCCTCCTTTCGTACAGTGCAAAAAGAACATTTAATCATGCCTGTGCAAACACAGAATAAAGATCAAAACCTACTCCAGAACTGTCTGTCCCCCAAAAATACCCAATTTTGAAGAAACTTAAAATTTTACAAACCTTGAATAGCTAGGTTCATTAATAAACAGTTATGGGGACTGTTCAACAAAAATGAAAAGGAGGATGGCCATAGCAATATAAAGAATACACAGGTCTAAAAGTCCAGGGTTAAGCACCAGCAAGGAAATCAAAGAAACACGTTTGAAGGCATGCATCTTCCCTGTGGTAACAGGAGGAGTGAGTTGTGGAGTTTCTCCCAGACCTGAACCTACTGACTACTATGATGGAAAGATGTGATCCGCTGATGTTTATGCCTGGCTACCAGGATTGCACCCCCTGTGTGATCGTAACTTTGAACACTCGCGGCAATGTCAAAATTGCGACTTTTGTGATTAATGTAGCTGGAGCAGTTATTCCATTCATTTCTTTATGTTTATTCAAGGGACACAATTCGGTAGTGCTTAAAGTTAATTTTCCAAGAATTTGTTTGGTGAGCTGCCATGCTGATTATGCATTAAGCGCATGTTTTCATAATGAGGCTTTGTTTGGGCCGGCATGGGGAACAGTTTGGGGAATCATTATGATTCTAAGGGATGTTGTCTTGATTGTTTTAAATCAGAAAGTGAGGGTGAAGATATTTCTGAACAGTCTGATAACTGTAACTTTGATCATTCTTATCAACTGCCATAAAAAACAATAGTCAAAACTGGAAGATGACGGAAAAGATTGTTTTTGTGGCTTTTTGAATGTGACAGTTCAGTCATACTGTAATAGAAGTTCATGGTGCAAAATGGAAGAAAAAAAGCCACTGAATTTGTAGAACTCTATTTCAAAGTAAGGCACAGCTCATCTAGGATTGTTTCAGCTGAAGTGCTATAGAAAGATTCTCGGAATAGCATGGGCCAAGAAGAAAAGAATTAATGACATCCTGGAAGCTCTCAGCATCAAGGAAGATTGGCTAGTAAACAGTATATGGTCTCAAAACTGAAATGTGTAGACCATACCAATTCCTACTGTGGATTAGAAAGAATGACAGCAGAAAGCATGGTGCCAGGAATGAGGGGCAGAGGCGGACCAGCATGAAAGTGAGCACAGGATTTGAGTGACAGCAAATTTATAGTGTCACAGCCTGATGACCTACAAAAGGAGATCTATCGTGTCACCCTGATGACCTACAAAAGGAGATCTATTGTGTCACCCTTGTGACCTATAAAAGGAGATCTATCGTGTCACCCTGATGACCTACAAAAGGAAATCTATTGTGTCGTCCTAATGACCTACAAAAAGAGATCTATTGTCACCCTGATGACCTACAAAAGGAGATCTATTGTGTCACCCTGGTGACCTACAAAATGAGGTCAAGGACAGAAGTGTAAGAAGACACACATACCTGACTCCTTGTGACCCGGTTTCCAGAAGCCAAGGCTCTGTTGTTACTATGGCAGTACAAAAAAAATGTTCATCATAAGCAATGAAAAAAATAAAAGTATTATTCTTAAGAATACATTTTTCCAAAATACAAATAACTTAAAATTTACTTTTTTTGGTATGCAAAGAAAGCACATTTTCTGAACAATTAATAGGAAATACTTTTTGAACAATCCCCATCTTTTCTTCTTGCTCTTTCTACTCTTTTTCTTCTTCTTCCTTTTCTTCTCCTTCTTCTTCTTCATCTTCTCCTGCTTCTCCTCCTCCTTCCTTCTTCCCCCAATGAAGTACGACCTTTAACTAACTTCAAAAAAGCTTTTTAAAGACTTGCTGACAATTGGTTGAAGGATGAATCGGTTGACCCCATTCTAACTTTGTCTAGTCACCTTTTGTAACAATGATCTTTTCTCACCTTTGAACACCAGTAACACAAGAGCTTTTTTTAAAAACCTTTTTCTGCTTTCTTTTGCCTTTTATCCCTAAATTTCACTAAAACAGTGGACTGTGCGGACAAAAGGGCTATTACCAGCAGGCTCTGTGGAGAGCTTCGAGCAAGGCAGGGCACTTAAGACGCCTTGGTCATCCACTGCACCTAGTTCCATTTCCAATCGTCTCGACATTGTCCTGCCATTGGATCAAGATGGACACAGGCCAGAGAGTGAGGTTGATGAATTGCGCAACTCTCTCTCACTTAAATCCAAGTCCTTGCACAAGTCACTTTCATCCAGCTATCACCATTATTGATCATTACTACTTTGGATGAAAGTGGTCTTCATTTCTTGTGATGGACGAACAACACTAATCCCTAAATTTATCTAGACCATCAATCAACTTGCATCAAGCCTTCCAACCCTTTGCCTACGCTTGCAGTTTTCCTGTCCGAGGTCATGAAAGTGCTGTTTTTTACAGGATCACTTATTCTGGAACAAAGACATTGCGCAGACTATTTATGAATGAATGTTAAAACAAGGTTAGATGAAATAACATGTGTAGGAATGTGTGAGCATGGATTCAGGAATGCAAGAGATGAAGACGACAAGTTTATAATCAGTGTGATACGGAAACAGTCAGCATGTACATAATAGAACATCTGTTGTTGGAGATGAAACATATATGTTGAATATCCGGTGTGCTATGATGTCAAATTTTACATCAGTAATCACAGACTCAAACAATTCCTCTTATCTACAAATAAACACAACAACACAAGTAAACTAGGTTTGATTCATGATGTAGATATAGGATAGGGTACCCCCCCCCCCCCCCCCCAATCCAATTCTGGGGAATGGTCAGTTATGTAACTTTCTCAGAGAAAGGTGAGAAAAACTATGAGCCCTTAAATGTGCCATTTAATTTCACACAGGGCTCAGAGTCTATTCCTCCATTCCGTTCTCTCCCCACACCATGCAAATAATGGAACAACTTATCAACCAACAGATCTCTTAAAGAATGTCACTCTCTTCATGGCACACCTGAAAGTCTCTCTTTCTCTAGCCAGTTCTCCAGCCCTGTGTGCTTTCACAGCCAATGAATCTATAATGTCTTGAAGGTCAGGATCTGCCACAGACTGTACCCTCCAGTACTGTTCTCTCCAGGCCACCATGACACTTAACATGACCACAATATCTCAGCCTTCGGGACAGTATGCTGTTTATGAGCCAATTCTCCTCAATGTTCAGATCATGTCGGATGTCAAGAGTTTTTGTTCTTCTTGGTCAACATCATTCTAAAAACTTTTCTGTGGCATTTCAATTCAGAAGCTTCAGTTTTTAAAAATTAAAATACAGAGTAAGTCCATGACTCATATGAACTGATAAGAAAACAAAATTGCTCACCTCATTTCCAGTTTGGCCTTTAGCTGATTTATCTCCCTCTGATGTAGTGATTTGAGTCTTTGGATTTCTTTTTCTCTTTCCTGTTTGTCTTTCTCTCGTTCCAGCTTCCGCAACCGTTCTCTTTCCAGCTTTTCTTCAAACAGTCGACACTTGACCTCCTGCTCCACAAGGCTGTTGACTCTGAGCATAAACATAAAAACAGACTTTTAACTAAGACAATCAGCAGACCATTAAACATAAAACAGACTTAACTTAACTAAGACCATCAGCAGACCATTAAACATAAAACAGACTTAACTTAACTAAGACCATCAGCAGACCATTAAACATAAAAACAGACTTAACTTTACTAAGACCATCAGCAGACCATTAAACATAAAACAGACTTAACTTAACTAAGACCATCAGCAGACCATTAAACATAAAAACAGACTTAACTAAGACCATCAGCAGACCATTAAACATAAAACAGACTTAACTTACCTAAGACCATCAGCAGACCATTAAACATAAAAACAGACTTAACTTAACTAAGACAATCAGCAGACCATTAAACATAAAAACAGACTTAACTTAACTAAGACCATCAGCAGACCATTAAACATAAAAACAGACTCAACTTAACTAAGACCATCAGCAGACCATTAAACATAAAAACAGACTCAACTTAACTAAGACCATCAGCAAACTATTAAACATAAAAACAGACTCAACTTAACTAAGACCATCAGCAAACTATTAAACATAAAAACAGACTTAACTTAACTAAGACCATCAGCAAACTATTAAACATAAAAACAGACTTAACTTAACTAAGACCATCAGCAAACTATTAAACATAAAAACAGACTTAACTAAGACCATCAGTAGACCATTACAATTTCAGTTCAGGAAATTGGTCCTTTTCATTTATTTTCAGAGACCAATCAACACTCAATGGTTGTTGAGGTCTACATTCTGTTATCCCCCCTTACCTCCCAGGACATTTCCTTGTACCCATTATAGGCTGGTCTGGCCTGTGAGCTAAGGTCAATTATTTTTTGAAATCTTCCTAAATGCAGAGCTGAGCCCAAGACTTTTGGTAAAACAGGCAGGCATTTCTTTTTTCTATATATCTATCTATCTTCTTTTACCCCACCAGGACATCACACAAGCAATAAACACCCAATGACACAAATTGCCACCATGTGGATGAGGATCACACGTGGTGAGGTCCCAGAAACCACGTTCAGCCATTAGACCATATTTATGGCCGGGCTATATATCACGGCCCTTGGCAAGAGCCAGAATAGTGCTTCAAAAAAAGAAAAATTGCATCCTAAAAAGGAGATGACAGGATTATTCTCTTTTTTTTTTCTAAGCCACTGTAGTCTTAAATATTGCTTTCCTGTGTGGGTTCCAAGGCCCATTTTGGGGGGCAAAAGAGCCGACATACAGCCCCCAACAAGTTTTTTCTAAAAGGTGACTAATTAGATGTGTTTCCTTCAAGGTCAGAGTGCATTTGCCTGACAGGCCAGCAACCAACCAACAGTATGCACACAAAAAGCCATATCTGTAAAACAGATGTGCATGCACACACAAATAAAGTCCTCGAATCAGACCAAAGCCCAGGTGTGAAAAAACAACCAGAAATGTCTGCCAGAGTTTACAGCCATTGAAGGCTAAAAAGAAATCTGGCTGAAATATTTCAGTTTCTGAAATATAATACTGTTTATAAATCAGTTTTCTTTGATGTTCAGATCTTAAAAAGTCAATTATTTTCATTCTTTTAGAGATAAAGATAACAAAAACATATCAATAATTCACATCACATGTTGGATCTATCAGAGTTCATCCAGTATGATGTGGACACACTCATGCAACAACTAGCATAATTCTAAACCTCCATCTTTCACGTATGTAGAGAGTAATTCTCCACAGAATAAATACACAAACAAGATTGAAATTCTTTTAAAAACTAGCCAATCAGCCTCATTAGCAGCAGCAGGAGTAGCAACAGCAGCAGCAGTAGCAAGAGTAATAGCAGCAGCAGTAGTAGTAATAGAAGTAGTAGCAGTAGCAGTAGCAGCAGCAACAATAATATCAGCATCAGTAGTAGCAGCAGTAGTACTATCAGCAGCAGTAGTAGCAGCATCAGTAATAGCAGAAGCAGCAGTAGTAGTAGTAGCAGCAGTGATAGCAGCAGCAGCATTAGTAAGAGCAGCAGCTGTGGTAGCAATAGTAATAGCAGCAGCAGTAGTAGCAGCAGAAGCAGCGGCAGTTTCTTTCACCTGTCCTGTCTCTCCATGTCCAACAGCCTGAACTTCTCATACTCAATTTTGTCCAGCTGCGTCTCCCGCTCCTCGTCAAACTTCACCTGGCGAGACTCCAGCTCTGAGGTTTTAGCTTCCAGCTCCTTCTGTAGACTCTCCAGATCCTGCAGGAGATACAGCATGAACATGATACTGGACACAAACCCTGCCATGTGGTACTGTACAAGAATAACATATAGCCAATCAATTCTAGATTTTGAAAAAAAAATCAGGGCACATGAGAACTTGATGCACATATTTTTAAAAAAAAAATTTGTTGTTGTTACTGTTTTGGTTTTACTAGATAGTTTCACGTTCAAAAGTTTTCCACTGCTTGCTAAATGGTTGGCTCTAGATATCACTCAAAATGAGAGCAAAGTGGTCTGTTGTCAAATCGCCTGCAGCTGGATTCCAACTGGGTAACTCAGAATTATGAAGACCTGTGTAAAGGCATTTCAGAATATTTAGATAATTCTAGAGAAAAGTTGAAGGCAGATTAGAAATTTGTGTAAAAGTATCGTAACATTCCGGCATTTTTCGGATATGTTATGAGAAAGAATGTACCGGAGAACTTGTTAACGACTGGCAAGATTGATTTAAGAGAGCAAGAGGAAAGTAAAGAGATCAGTACCTGGATGGTTTAGCCATGCTGGTGGGGCACCACAAGACCACTGACCTGATCTGTGATTCTAGTGAACGTGTGGAATGGTAAAAAAATGACAGTGCTGGTTTGTCAGCACGACACATGACTGTACAATTGTTTAGAAAGTCAAGAGAACGGCCACAAACTGACACATGCAAGGGTCAAGCAACCAATAATATACTTCCGGCTCAATGGACTAGCAATACATGCAACATAAAAAATATAAAATCTTTGAGATTTTCTTTTCCTTCTGTTCTTCCATGTTGTGTGGTGTTGGAAGTCATATCCATCCCCAACCGTCTGTCTCACGTACTTTCAATCATTTCTGACTCTGATGATATTCTATGCCACAACATCAAACTGTCCAACATCTTCTCTCTCAGTTTCCCTAAGACCCTTTACACTCTAATTTTTCCACCATCATGATGAGTTCGAGTCTCCTTTTCTCAAGACACCCCCCCCCCCCCCCCCCCCCCCCAATGTGTATACTGTCTCCTTCTGATATAGGTAAGCAGTTCTCTTCGTGAGTTAATTTTTCTCCAAACATCTTCATTACTCTTTTTGTCTGTCCATAGTATTCTGAATATTCATCTACAAAACCACATTCCTGCTGCCTCCACATAATCCTTCACAAATTGATAAACTGTACATGATTCACTTCCGTATATAAGAATTGGAATTATGTATCATTTAAGAACTCTTATCCCCACCCCAATTCACAAAGAACAATCACATAGAATATACTTCATGTTCTAACATGCTGCTCCTGCATGAGCTTTACAAGACAGAACAAAAACTAATAACAGGTCACCTTCTGTCTGGTGTCCAAGTCTTCTCTCTGAGCCTTCAGCTGTTGGGACACATTGAAGAGCCGGTTCTGCTCCCCGCTGTCTTCCAAAGAGGATTTCCTCAGTACCTCTTCTTGTAGTCCCACCAATCTGAGCAGACAACAATCAAAGATATTTTACACATTGTTTCTTGTCTCAAATGTTTTAGATTATTTAAAAATATACACTTATCTCCGTTGTTCTCATCAACATTATTACAAGTATATTATCTTCACTGTCATCATGAATAACATGACCTCTACTTCCCATAAGATCCGTGGTAGCGTAGTGGCTGGATGCTCCCCTTTTGGCCCAAATATCTTGGGTTCAAAACCATACCCAGTGCCCCCTACCCAAGAAACACCTCATAAAAGTTGACTGATTAGGGGTTTTTCCTTTAAAGTCAGAGTGCATCTGCCGGAGAGGCCAGGAACCAACAGCCTGCTTACAAATAAGTCATACCTTTAAAATTGATGTGCATGGAAAATTCAAGTTCTGAAACAGGACTAAAGTCCAGAAGTGGATGAACAACCAGAACTTTCCACCAGAATTTTCAGCCAGAGGAGAAGGAGGCTTATGCCCAATAAGCCTGAAGGCTTAAAAGAGAGTCCCTTACATTTTTTTTTAGTGTGTCTCTACCAATTTGGTTTAGACATGTATACTTATCTTACCGTGTCTCTACTAATCTTTAAGATATTTATTCTTATCTTACTGTGCCTCTACTGATTATTTTTAAACATTTATACTTAACTTATTCTCTCACAAATAATTTTACACATAATTATATATATCTAACTCTCTAATTAGAAATTATACATCTGGTAAATTCATGTTCACTTCACAAGTAATCTTTTACACATCTTTTCATCTGACCTCATACGCTCATTCTGGATCTCCTCAAGGTTGAGGTTATACGTGTGCTCCAGGGTCTCGATCTCCACTTCAAGTTCTACAATCTGTGGTCCACAAACAAACAAAACCCAGATTTTTCGTGTTCAAACACAACATCACCACATTACATACAGGCCTTTATATAAACATAACATTATAGACACAAGGCTACTTCAAGATAACATCACAGACTGTATCTAAACATAATGTCATAAATTTAAGACAGAAAACAGTTAACATCATAAACACAATACTGTATAAACATTAATATCATAAACACAGGATTGGATCTAAACATAACAAGATGAACACAACATTATAAACACAGGACTCTGCATAAACATATGATCAAAAACACAATCCTATGCATTTAAAAAAGATTTAGCGCAGCATGGATAGAACACACCATTTTTGGTACTAGTTATATGGTACAAAACTGCTGATAGAGAAGCCTGATGATCTCTCTGGCAAATGTCTGCACCCCAAGGTAGAAGAGGATCAACTAAGTAAAGTAGAAGTTGTATTGCACACAGGGAGATTTGGACTGCACACAGGGAGATTTGGACTGCACACAGGGAGATTTGGACTGCACAATAGGTTTCATCAAGGTTTCTAGCCTATTGATCTATGTTTTTCTGACAGAAGAAGGGGAAAGAAGAATAAAAGGATGATAAGGAAGAGGAAAAAGAAGAGCAAGAGAAGAAAGAAAAAGAAGAAGAGGAAGAAAAAGAGAAGGAAAATTAAGAAGAGGAGGAGGAAGAAGAGGACAAGGAGAGGAAGAAGAGAAAGAAGAGCAGAAGGTGGAGGAGAAGAAGAAGAGACAGATGAGGTGGAAGAAGAAGAACCAGGGAAGAAGACTGTTCAATTCTATAAAACTTAAAACAATTTTTTAGGGCAGACAACACTGAAGTCACAAACACCTGGAATTGAAGGAGTTTTCTAGATCTTTAATGGACACCATTTCTGGATCTTTAATAACACCATTTCTAGAACTTTATTAGACTACATTTTTAAAATTGTAAAGGACAACATTTCTAGATCTTTAATGGACACCATTTCTAGAGCTTTAATGTACACAATCTCCAGAACTTTAATGTATACCATCTCCAGAACTTTAATGTACACCATCTCCAGAACTTTAATGTACACCATCTCTAGAACTTTAATCTATACCATCTCCAGAACTTTAATCTATACCATCTCCAGAACTTTAATGTACACCATCTCCAGAACTTTAATGTACACCATCTCTAGAACTTTAATCTATACCATCTCCAGAACTTTAATCTATACCATCTCCAGAACTTTAATGTATACCATCTCCAGAACTTTAATGTACACCATCTCCAAAACTTTAATGTACACCATCTCCAGAACTTTAATGTACACCATCTCCAGAACTTTAATGTACACCATCTCCAGAACTTTAATCTAAACCATCTCCAGAACTTTAATCTATACCATCTCCAGAACTTTAATCTATACCATTTCCAGAACTTTAATGTACACCATCTCTAGAACTTTAATGTACACCATCTCCAGAACTTTAATCTATACCATCTCCAGAACTTTAATGTACACCATCTCCAGAGCTTTAATGTACACCATCTCCAGAACTTTAATGTACACCATCTCCAGAACTTTAATCGGTTCTTAATTTATAACGTACCCCAAACACGAAATCCCCGTGGGAAATCCACAGCTGACCTGACAGTCCATTATTTCAAGGGGTGGAAGTGTGCTGTTGCGTGGTGCTTTTTTTTTTGAGTGTTCATCTAGTGTCTTCAAATGCTAAACCTAACCCTAACCCTAAACCTAAACCTAAACCTAAACCTAAACTTGGCTGTAGATAAATGGCGAGAAACTACAACCTGGACACCCTAGAATTTATTGGGAATGTCTCCCGTGACGTTGTCGTGACGTCAGGGGTAAGTTATAAATTAAGTACCCTTTAATCTAAACCATCTCCAGAACTTTAATCTATACCATCTCCACAACTTTATTGTACACCATCTCCAGAACTTTAATGGATGCCACTTCTAGACTTCTAGAACATTTTTAAACTTAACTTTTATAAGAGTGATAGTATCAATTTCTACAACTGTCAGACATTTCATTTCTAGAATACACATGCACACTACACAAACAGAACAATGAAGTAATAAAAAAACTTAAGCAATATTTAATAGTAAAAGAAAAGTGTGACATACTTTGTCCTTCCTGCGGCTCTCCTTCTCTTCTGTTCGTTTCTCCATCTCCTCCAGCTCTCCAGTCAACACAGAGTTTTCCTCCTTTAGAGCATCGATCTGTTTCTGGAACTCCTTGATAACTGCTGCCTTTTCTTGGTTCACCTGAATGTCAAACAAAGTAATAGAGTGGTTCTTAAACTGTTAACATAGTTAACTGTTAATTAATCCGTGTGGATTCTACAGCCCTATTGTGGGGAAAATAAGAACAGACTCACCGCCTCATCAAAACAAGCAAGTTGTAGCAGTCGACTAATTGGGAGCATCTTTCGAATGTACACTCAAAACTCAGGCCTTGGCAAAAAAGTTAAAGTCCAAATAGACAAATAACCAGGACTTTCTGGTAGAGCTTACAGCCGGTGAGCAAAGAAAGGGAAAAAAAAACTGTTTAACTGATTAATCTATTTGTCTTCTTTACATCTTCTGCTGCAGCTTCTCTCCTCCTCATGTCTTTTCTTCTCCTGGTTGCAGTGTAACTATTCTTTGCTTTCCTCATGGACCCTAGTAACACATGAGCACTCCACAGGGTGAGCACCAACATTATTCATCTGACAGCATAATCATATGTACAGATCTCGTCTAAGTAGTTCAACACTGTGCTAGTGTGGGCGGTGTGTACAAACTACAGAACATGTCCTGCAAGAATGTTCCTTGTAAGAAAAGAACACTGGTCCAGTGAGTCAATACTGTACTAAAAGTTATAGAGAATTAAAAGAGAACTCCTAACAGTCAAGTTTATCACAAGACCTTGTCTGTTGGTGTCAGAAAGCGATCCAAGAAGAAGAAAACACACGGGCAGTTGCTAGATGTTATGTGTTATGCTATGTTACCACAATTGATGTCACTGCAGGGTGGATGTCAGCTTGGTCCTCCAATGCAGCAAACACTCCAAGGTACCTCTACTGACTGTTCCCATAAGTGGCTGCTTATAATGTCACCTATCTTGGCCTCAAAGGTGGCACAGACGTGCTTCCCTATGCTTTAATCCCATGTCATGCAACTATGTTAGTGTCAGAGATTTCCCATTATCCATGAACTTAGTAGACACAGTGTTGATTATATCTGCCCTATCCATGCTTCTTCTCCCATGTGTTGATGCATTGCTTGCCAGTTCATCTGCTCATTCCCTACCTTTCATCTTGGCAGGCCCAGGTGTATAGATCCAGGTGAGGGAGGTTAAGTGCGATTTCCAAATGCTTTCTAACCATTCAGAGCATGTATTACCTGTTGCAAGTTTCTGAAACATGTCCATGGAGTCAAACATAAATACTGCATGTGTGGCTGCTGGTTCTGCCACCCATGCCACTGCTCTGCAAGCAGCTGTTATCTCCACTGTCCATGGTGGCTAGATGCTTGCTGGTCTAAAGGTCCTGGGTTCAGACCTGCATCAAGGTGGATTTTAAACTGATCTGGGCTCCAAAGTTGACCCAGCCAGAAATTGTTACTGGCAAATGTCCCAAAAGTTGAGCAGCCATCAACTTACATCCACCACTGCATTTACAACATGACCAGATATACACAGCCACTTGCGTTGATTCAATTCTATGGCTCCCACACCTTCATTCCTTGCAGACTTCACGTGTCTCATCCAAGGGCTAAACATAGAATGATTTATGGTCTTCTCACACTTCCAATCACACATTAAATCCCACAAATAATCACAGTAACGTTAAGTTCTTGTCGTGTCTAACGCCAGACATGCTAACCCCCATGATTGTCTTTCCTTGTGGCTTGTGGGGTGTATTGCAACCAATCTCCACTGTGAAGACAGCATACAATTAATATTGACACAAAGCTGCAAGGTTCCTTTGCACTCCAAGGAAGAAGTGAAAAGGCAAAACAAAAAGATATTTGTTTCAAGTTAGAAGAGGCAAGATAAATGCCATAATTAAATTGTATCTATTTGCAAAATTATTCTGAAGTCATCTGATGTCTTTGTTTTCACAACTAACTTAATTTTTTTTTAAACTGCTTTAACAAACAAAACATTAAAACAAACAAAACCAAAACTGGTTTTCCCAATTAGAGAGAACACCTTGTCATGCAAGAACCATACAAGGCATGTACCAAAAAGGGAGCGGGACGTCCTGCAAATGGAACTTAGACCAAGAAAAATATGGCAAGACAATATCAGAGAAACACTACAACAGTATAATGTGTCTATGGCTCAGGTCGCTAGAACAGCAAGAAGTAGAGCCTTATATCTCCCTCAACATCCAAAGCAGCAAAACAGCAAGAAGTAGAGCCTTTTATCTCCCTCAACATCCAAAGCAGCAAAACAGCAAGTGAAGAAAAATAAGAAAAGATGAAGATTTACCTGCATGACTTCATCCTTAGCGTTCACCAGAACTTGCTTCTGCTCCTCAATCTGCTCATCCAGCTGCCTTAACTTGTCACTATTCTGCCACAAAAGCTCTCGCCTGGCAAGATGTAGAGCCTCAATTTCTGCTGCCTTCTGTCGCTCCCAAACCTCCAGTTCTGACTCTATCCTGGCCACTTCTTCCTGCTGGCGCTCAGCAAAGTTTTTCTCTTCTTCTTCAAGTAATTTCCGGGCTTCGGCCAACTGCTGGGTTTCGGCTTCACACTCAAGTTTCTCTTGAACGCTGGAGAAACTTCTAGAAATATACAATCAGAAGAATTATATGAAGATAAGCATTGATAAGACAGAGGTAATGGTAATAGGAAGACAAGAAGAAACCATATCAATTAAAGTAAATAACAAAAAAATAAAACAAACAAGCAAATTTAAACATCTAGCGTCATTTTTCACATCAGGTGGAAAAATGGATGGAGAAATCAATACACGATGTGTGAAAGCAAGTCAGGTAATGGGACAGTTAACACCACTTCTGACCCATAGAAAGATACCTTTGTCAACCAAAGCAAATCTAATAAGAACAGATTTTTGGCCGACATTGTGCTACCAGTGCCAAACATGGACCCTTACTACATCTAACGAGCGGAAGATCATAACAGTAGAGATGAGATGTCTTATGAGAGCTGCCGGTGTGACAAGAAAAGATAAAAATCAAGAATGAAGTAATTAGAAGACAAGGACTGAAACCAGTCATATAATTAATTAAAGAACAACAAATGAAATGGTTTGGCCACCTGACGAGAATGTCCTGGTACAGAGAGCCACACTGAAAAAATATAATGAACACAGAGCAAGCGGGAAGACCACACAAGAGATGGAGCGACACCATCAGGAGCAACCTAATCAGAGGCATTTTCAGATTTGCCATCTATTCTTCGCTTGCAACATTCACTGTATGGAAAAACATCACAGAAACTGAAAATTCAGTAGCCAGACTATTTAATACATTCTGGCCAAAAAATGTTTTGTAAACCAACACTTCATGCTGTCCAACTCCATATATCACATTATATAGGCTCAGTTTTTCTGCTTTTTTTGCTTTGGGTACGAAAACAGCCAGTAGTATCAACTATGTATCTCATAAACAGGTCGCTATAGATGTTAGAAAAGTGGCATTTATGGGGAATTGGACCTGACCTAAAGTGTCAGTTTTGTGGTTTCTTGGGGTAAAGGGGTTAAATTATTAGCATTTTACCCTATATAGGGTTCTAGTCTTGTGATTTACTGCTTCCTCTCAATAATGAAAAAAAATAATCATACAATGATTGTAAGCCGGCTACTGTCTTAGTGGGGTGCACAGCGGCTAATACTGTCGCCCGTTGACCTAGTGGTAATGGGTATGTATCTCTTCTGGGGCAATTCTGAAAACCCTGATCTGGGTAAGAGGAGCAGAACAGAGGACAGCCAGCATAAAGATGGGCATGGGACACAAGAGAAATCTTCGGCAAGAGTGTGCCTGAGGCGGGAAAGCTGGCAAGAAACCAGTTTCTTTCAAGCATGCAGTTACGGAAGCGATATTGTGTGAAGGACCAGCTGCCTGTAAATGATAAGTTTTATTTTATCACCATGGTAAGCTAGTGGGAAAACCCCACTATATTACAGTGATGCCGGAGACATGACATATGAACTCAGAGACCTCTCCCTGATCAACATACCCTTACCCCACTATATTACAGTGATGCCGGAGACATGACACATAAACTCTCTCCCTGATCAACCTACCCTTACCCCACTATATTACAGTGACACCCGGAGACATGACACATAAACTCTCTCCCTGATCAACCTACCCTTACCCCACTATATTACAGTGATGCGGGAGACATGACATATGAACTCTCTCCCTGATCAACCTACCCTTACCCCACTATATTACAGTGATGCGGGAGACATGACATATGAACTCAGAGACCTCTCCCTGATCAACATACCCTTACCCCACTATATTACAGTGATGCGGGAGACATGACACATAAACTCTCTCCCTGATCAACCTACCCTTACCCCACTATATACAAGTGATGCGGGAGACATGACATATGAACTCTCTCACTGATCAACCTACCCTTACCCCACTATATTACAGTGATGCGGGAGACATGACATATGAACTCAGAGACCTCTCCCTGATCAACATACCCTTACCCCACTATATTACAGTGATGCGGGAGACATGACATATGAACTCTCTCCCTGATCAACCTACCCTTACCCCACTATATTACAGTGACGCCGGAGACATGACACATAAACTCTCTCCCTGATCACCTACCCTTACCCCACTATATTACAGTGATGCCGGAGACATGACACATAAACTCTCTCCCTGATCACCTACCCTTACCCCACTATATTACAGTGATGCCGGAGACATGACATATGTACTCAGAGACCTCTCCCTGATCACCTACCCTTACCCCACTATATTACAGTGACGCCGGAGACATGACACATAAACTCTCTCCCTGATCACCTACCCTTACCCCACTATATTACAGTGATGCGGGAGACATGACATATGAACTCAGAGACCTCTCCCTGATCACCTACCCTTACCCCACTATATTACAGTGACGCCGGAGACATGACACATAAACTCTCTCCCTAATCACCTACCCTCACCCCACTATATTACAGTGATGCGGGAGACATGACATATGAACTCAGAGACCTCTCCCTGATCACCTAACCTCACCCCACTATATTTCAGTGATGCGGGAGACATGACATATGAACTCAGAGACCTCTCCCTGATCACCTACCCTTACCCCACTATATTACAGTGATGCGGGAGACATGACACATAAACTCAGAGACCTCTCCCTGATCACCTACCCTTACCCCACTATATTACAGTGATGCGGGAGACATGACACATAAACTCAGAGACCTCTCCCTGATCACCTACCCTTACCCCACTATATTACAGTGATGCGGGAGACATGACATATAAACTCAGAGACCTCTCCCTGATCACCTACCCTTACCCCACTATATTACAGTGATGCGGGAGACATGACACATAAACTCAGAGACCTCTCCCTGATCACCTACCCTTACCCCACTATATTACAGTGATGCGGGAGACATGACACATAAACTCAGAGACCTCTCCCTAATCACCTACCCTTACCCCACTATATTACAGTGATGCGGGAGACATGACATATGAACTCAGAGACCTCTCCCTAATCACCTACCCTTACCCCACTATATTACAGTGACGCGGGAGACATGACACATAAACTCAGAGACCTCTCCCTAATCACCTACCCTTACCCCACTATATTACAGTGATGCGGGAGACATGACACATAAACTCTCTCCCTGATCAACCTACCCTTACCCCACTATATTACAGTGATGCGGGAGACATGACACATAAACTCAGAGACCTCTCCCTAATCACCTACCCTTACCCCACTATATTACAGTGATGCGGGAGACATGACATATAAACTCAGAGACCTCTCCCTAATCACCTACCCTTACCCCACTATATTACAGTGATGCGGGAGACATGACATATAAACTCAGAGACCTCTCCCTAATCACCTACCCTTACCCCACTATATTACAGTGATGCGGGAGACATGACATATAAACTCAGAGACCTCTCCCTAATCACCTACCCTTACCCCACTATATTACAGTGATGCCGGAGACATGACACATAAACTCAGAGATCTCTCCCTAATCACCTACCCTTACCCCACTATATTACAGTGATGCCGGAGACATGACATATAAACTCAGAGACCTCTCCCTAATCACCTACCCTTACCCCACTATATTACAGTGACGCAGGAGACATGACACATAAACTCAGAGACCTCTCCCTAATCACCTACCCTTACCCCACTATATTACAGTGACGCCGGGAGACATGACACATAAACCCAGAGACCTCTCCCTAATCACCTACCCTTACCCCACTATATTACAGTGATGCGGGAGACATGACACATAAACTCAGAGACCTCTCCCTAATCACCTACCCTTACCCCACTATATTACAGTGATGCGGGAGACATGACATATAAACTCAGAGACCTCTCCCTAATCACATACCCTTACCCCACTATATTACAGTGATGCGGGAGACATGACATATAAACTCAGAGACCTCTCCTTAATCACCTACCCTTACCCCACTATATTACAGTGATGCGGGAGACATGACATATAAACTCAGAGACCTCTCCCTAATCACCTACCCTTACCCCACTATATTACAGTGATGCCGGAGACATGACACATAAACTCAGAGACCTCTCCCTAATCACCTACCCTTACCCCACTATATTACAGTGATGCCGGAGACATGACATATAAACTCAGAGACCTCTCCCTAATCACCTACCCTTACCCCACTATATTACAGTGACGCAGGAGACATGACACATAAACTCAGAGACCTCTCCCTAATCACCTACCCTTACCCCACTATATTACAGTGACGCCGGGAGACATGACACATAAACTCAGAGACCTCTCCCTAATCACCTACCCTTACCCCACTATATTACAGTGATGCGGGAGACATGACATATAAACTCAGAGACCTCTCCCTAATCACCTACCCTTACCCCACTATATTACAGTGATGCGGGAGACATGACATATAAACTCAGAGACCTCTCCCTAATCACCTACCCTTACCCCACTATATTACAGTGACACGGGAGACATGACACATAAACTCAGAGACCTCTCCCTAATCACCTACCATTACCCCACTATAATACAGTGACGCGGGAGACATGACATATGAACTCAGAGACCTCTCCCTGATCAACCTACCCTCACCCCACTATATTACAGTGATGACGGAGACATGACATATAAACTCAGAGACCTCTCCCTGATCACCTACCCTCACCCCACTATATTACAGTGATGCCGGAGACATGACATATGAACTCAGAGACCTCTCCCTGATCACCTACCCTCACCCCACTATATTACAGTGATGCCGGAGACATGACATATGAACTCAGAGACCTCTCCCTGATGACCTACCCTCACCCCACTATATTACAGTGATGCGGGAGACATGACATTTAAACTCAGAGACCTCTCCCTGATCACCTACCCTCACCCCACTATATTAGAGTGATGCCGGAGACATGACACATAAACTCTCTCCCTGATCAACCTACCCTTACCCCACTATATTACAGTGATGCGGGAGACATGACACATAAACTCTCTCCCTGATCAACCTACCCTTACCCCACTATATTACACTGATGCGGGAGACATGACACATAAACTCTCTCCCTGATCACCTACCCTCACCCCACTATATTACACTGATGCGGGAGACATGACACATAAACTCTCTCCCTGATCACCTACCCTTACCCCACTATATTACACTGATGCGGGAGACATGACACATAAACTCTCTCCCTGATCACCTACCCTTACCCCACTATATTACAGTGATGCCGGAGACATGACATATGAACTCAGAGACCTCTCCCTGATCACCTACCCTCACCCCACTATATTACAGTGATGCGGGAGACATGACATTTAAACTCAGAGACCTCTCCCTGATCACCTACCCTCACCCCACTATATTAGAGTGATGCCGGAGACATGACACATAAACTCTCTCCCTGATCAACCTACCCTTACCCCACTATATTACAGTGATGCGGGAGACATGACACATAAACTCTCTCCCTGATCAACCTACCCTTACCCCACTATATTACACTGATGCGGGAGACATGACACATAAACTCTCTCCCTGATCACCTACCCTTACCCCACTATATTACACTGATGCGGGAGACATGACCCATATCTCTCTCCCTGATCAACCTACTCTCACCCCACTATATTAGAGTGATGCCGGAGACATGACACATAAACTCTCTCCCTGATCACCTACCCTTACCCCACTATATTACACTGATGCGGGAGACATGACACATAAACTCAGAGACCTCTCCCTGATCACCTACCCTTACCCCACTATATTACAGTGATGCGGGAGACATGACACATAAACTCTCTCCCTGATCAACCTACCCTTACCCCACTATATTACAGTGATGCGGGAGACATGACACATAAACTCTCTCCCTGATCAACCTACCCTTACCCCACTATATTACAGTGATGCGGGAGACATGACACATAAACTCAGAGACCTCTCCCTGATCACCTACCCTTACCCCACTATATTACAGTGATGCGGGAGACATGACACATAAACTCTCTCCCTGATCCACCTACCCTTACCCCACTATATTACAGTGATGCGGGAGACATGACACATAAACTCTCTCCCTGATCAACCTACCCTTACCCCACTATATTACAGTGATGCGGGAGACATGACACATAAACTCAGAGACCTCTCCCTGATCACCTACCCTTACCCCACTATATTACAGTGATGCGGGAGACATGACATATAAACTCAGAGACCTCTCCCTAATCACCTACCCTTACCCCACTATATTACAGTGATGCCGGGAGACATGACATATAAACTCAGAGACCTCTCCCTAATCACCTACCCTTACCCCACTATATTACAGTGATGCGGGAGACATGACACATAAACTCAGAGACCTCTCCCTAATCACCTACCCTTACCCCACTATATTACAGTGATGCGGGAGACATGACACATAAACTCTCTCCCTGATCAACCTACCCTTACCCCACTATATTACAGTGATGCGAGAGACATGACATATAAACTCAGAGACCTCTCCCTGATCACCTACCCTCACCCCACTATATTACAGTGACGTGGGAGACATGACACATAAACTCAGAGACCTCTCCCTAATCACCTACCCTTTCTGCATCTTCCTCTTCACCCTGGCTTCATTCTCTCCCAGATCATGCCAAGCCTCCTCTATCCTGCTTGTATGTTCATTCAGCTCGTCCAACACCACCTTCCACTGAGCATTCTTCTCCTCGCTGGCCACCTCGTGCTGGGCCAGGAGGTCCTCCTCTCTGAGGGCCAAATCCTGGACTTCATGAAGGATGTTCTCACTGGAAGCCAATAGGTCCTTCTTCTCCATCTCATACTGTGACTTTAAAGTCTCCAGTTTCTCTACTTCTGTGGCAACTTTCTCCTGAAGCTGTGGATGATATAAGTAGTAAAGTGAACAAGTAGCCATCCTGAGACTCCACAAGGGACATAACAGGCTTTAACACCACTTGTGCGTCTTCTTCTTCTTCTTACCATTCACTGGCTGTAAACTTTAGTGGAAAGTTCTGGCTGTTCGTCCACTTCTGGACTTTGGTCTTGTTCCAGAATCTAAGTGTTACATGCATATCCATTTAACAGAAATGAATTTTTTGTCTGCAAACTGTTGGTTCCTTGCCTCTCAGGCAGATGCACTCTGACTTTGAAAGAAGCTCCCAGTCAGTTCACTCTTATGACCTGATAGTGAGGAGGCAGTCTGTCTATTCTTGTTTCCCTCGCAATAGGGTCCCAGAGTCCACACAGGAAAAGGACCCATCTGAAGCCACTGGTGCATTAGACATTTGGAGCTAGACCCATACTGACCTCATGCATGGCAGAGACAATTGTTCTGGTCTACACCTGCTCTATTTGAGGACAAACTCTACGGCAAACTCCACATAACTGCTGTTGCTTTTTTGTTTTTGTTTTTGTTTATATAAATAAATTTGTGCTGTAGCCTGATAAGAGTAAAACGAAGATAATCTGGAAAGCAGCAGAAAGATTAGGACAAGTAACACAGAAAGCATTTGAAGAGAGAATACACATAAGGGACTCAAAAGTAAGTAAAGGATCATGTCCATACAAGTGATGCATTGGGCATATGGTGTTTGACTTATCTTTTTATTTTAAAATCGCCATTCAGTGGGTGATATCACAAACAACACCGGTCTGTCTTTACTTCCTATGACAAATCCTGGGACATATTTCCAGTTGAGTTAATTTGGCAGTCAAACTAAATTTTGAACAGAAACACAAGTTAGACTCAATGTGGCTTTGAAACCCTAGACCTTTGGACCAGCAGGCAAGCATATAACCACTATGCTACTGTGACTCCCACTGATGGGTGGAAGAGAGAGGGAATAGGTGAGTGGATGGGCAGTTTCATGCCGGCCACTTTAACTTCCCATGACTTTTACCTGGTACCCAACCTAAGAGTCAATGTCATTTTTGAAAAAAGTCAGGCTCTATCAGGACCCAAACTTACGACCTTCCAATCCAAAAGCGAGCATCTAGCCACTACACCACAGCGGCCCCCAGATGGGCAGGAGAGAGAGGGAATAAGTGAGATGATAGATGGGAGGCAGTGATGAAATGGATGAGCGCATGAGTTGGGGAGAGAGAGCGATAAAGAATGAATGAATGCAAGGGTGGCAGAGAGAAAAAAATGGGTGATTGCATGGGTAGGAGAGACAGAGATGGAATGGGGGAATTAGTAAGTAGATATGTGAGTGCATGGGGAGAGAGAGGGTACAGGGTGAGAGTAAGGATGGGAGAGGGGCTGGGTGAGTGCCCAGGTTGGAGAGAGAAGAAATGAGTGTGAGAATGTGTGCCTAATGCAAAACAAAATCACTTAAGGCTAATTCAATGCACCACAACAAGAGCAAGAGCACTGTAACTTACGCTCTTCTCCTTATCCTCCAGCTGTAACCGGCTGCTTGTTGATGCCCTCCTGACTTGTTGAATCTGCTCATTCTTCTCAGTGATCTGTCGCTCCAGGTCGTGTATCACCTGAGAGATGGACTCCTCCTCTGTCACTTGGTCCGGGAACCAGGTCAGGTTCTCTATTTCCTGTGGATGTGAGATTTGTGAACATCTTATCCCAATGACAACAATCATATTATCCACCTATGTGGTGGGTTCAAATCCACAGGTAGCCAGATTTTTCTTCTTCATTTTTGACCTTGACCCCAAGAAGACCTAGCCGTAAACAGGTACCAGGTAAAGACCTGGGAAGTCCTGCATGATGGTGACTGCATCACTTATCAAGGGTTGACTGATCTATACAAAAATGAGTCTAACCTGATACCCCCAAGACGACCTAGCCTTAAACAGGTACCAGGTAAAGACCTGGGAAGTCTGGCGTGATGGTGACCGCATCACCTATCAAGGGTTGACTGATCTATACAAAAATGAGTCTAACCTGATACCCCCAAGACGACCTAGCCTTAAACAGGTACCAGGTAAAGTCCTGGGAAGTCTGGCGTGATGGTGACCGCATCACCTATCCAGGGTTGACTGATCTATACAAATATGAGTCTAACCTGATACCCCCAAGACGACATAGCCTTAAACAGGTACCAGGTAAAGTCCTGGGAAGTCTGGCGTGATGGTGACCGCATCACTTATAAAATGTTGACTGATCTATACAAATATGAGTCTAACCTGATACCTCCGATGGGCGACTGGCTTGTAAGGGACCTTCACTTTTTTCTTTGCTCTTCTTCTCCTCCTCCTCTTCCTCCTCTTCTATTTTTATTCTACTTCTCTCAAATCTTCTTCTGCCTTTCTTCTCCCTATAGAGCACAGACCGTCAACCCAAACAACTCACACATAGCTTTTAGCAGACGTGTTCATGACTAGTTCACTTCTGAGACTAGTATTCAAGAGGAACTATTGGAACAACACCTATAATTAAGTTCATTGAAAAAACAAACACTGAAATGGTTTGGTCATATAATGGGAATGAATTCAATGATGCCAGCAACGAAAGCTTACAACATGAAGGTAGAAACACCAAGAGGTAGAGGGGTGACCAAGAAGAAGATAGATTGAAGGAGTCACTGATATCTTGAGACTTCACAATATCACAGTGTTCCGGGCAACTGGGTGTACCATAGCTTGGAAACCTAACATTTGTTAACCTGCAACACCCAGCAGCACAACACAGAAAATGGACAAAAGAAACACAAAAGAAAGATTCTACAGGAGGGGCTGGCCAAATGGTTCAGAATGCTGGGATCTCATGCTGGAAACAGGTTCAAATCCTCAGTAACATCAGGGATTTTTCTGCTGGGGACAAAAATAATTTCGTAACCTGCAAAGTCTGTGCCGACTGTACTAGCCATGCAGTCCTAAAATCCTCAGACTCAAAGACCACCACCCCCCCCCCCCCCCCTTTTCCTCACACACTGCAAAAGTGGTATATTCATCATGCAGTTCTTTAGGAAAAGGTAGTCTGTACTCAAGTCGACTCAAACACCATGTATGTTAGGAAACAGTGTTACTCTTCCATGCTTCTTCACTGCTTCCTATGTTGGGCCTGTAACTCGCAGGTATTGTATGTATACCAGGTTATGACATATGACACTGGGATGACTGGTTCTCTTTCTTATATTTTTATGTACACACACATAACATGGTACAATTCAATACAATGAAAAGGACGAATAAACTGTGAGCCCTATGTGACGGATAACGGCACAACAGGAGAATGAAGATGAGGTGGTAATTCAAATCCATACCAGGACAGATTTTTGTACAATTTGCAGGCAAAATTCAAGTTGTGGAACAAGACCAAAGTCCAGCGCCAGTTAATGCTAAGAATACTGAGCCAAAACTGATTTTAGCTCCCAGTTGACTACTCTAAATTTTATACCAGGATATGTGATTGCAAGTCAAGCTAACTGCTGTGACACGGACATCACCCATCAAGTGTGAGAAGGTCTATAATACAAACTTGTTATCTAGCTTCATATGTCTGTAGTCACCGTGGCGCAGCGGCTAGATGCTCGCGTGCGGATCGGAAGGTCGTGGGTTGGCTTCCTGACAGAGCCGGACTTTTATTCAAAAATGACCTTGACTCCCAGGTCGAGTGGGTACCGGGTGCAGTCCCGGGAAGTAAAGGTGGCCGGCATGATGCTGACCACATCACCCATCTTGTGCCGATTGGTCTATACAAATATAGGTCTAGCCCTATATGCCCTATACACCTAAATGGCGTGGAAAACGGACCTTTACTTTTTTAGCATATGTCTGCTGCAGCATGACACTAAAAAGGTCCTTTACTCTTATAAAATAATATGCTTATATGGACACAAACAGACCAAATGACTCAGAATAGACAATAACTAGATGACTCAGGGGAGACAATGACGAGCTGACTCAGGGCACAAAATAAGTTTTTGACTCAGGACAGCAAATGGCCAGATGACTCAGGACAGACACTGGCCTTCTGACTCAGAACACAAAATGACTAGCTGACTCAGGACAATGACCAGCTGACTCAGGACAGACAATGGCCGGATGACTCAGGACAATGGCCGGATGACTCAGGACAGACAATAGCCAGATGACTGAGGACAGACAATAGCCAGATGACTGAGGACAGACAATAACCAGATGATGCAGGACAGACAATAGCTCGATGATACAGGACAGACAATAGCCAGATGACTCAGGACAGACAATGGCAACATGACTCAGGACAATGGCCGGATGACTCAGGACAGACAATGGCCAGATGACTGAGGACAAACAATAGCCAGATGATGCAGGACAGACAATAGCTCGATGATACAGGACAGACAATAGCCAGATGACTCAGGACAGACAATAGCCAGATGGTGCAGGACAGACAATAGCCAGATGGTGCAGGACAGACAATAGCCTGTTGATGCAGGACAGACAATAGCCTGATGGTGCAGGACAGACAATAGCCAGATGACTCAGGACAGACAATAGCCTGATGACTCAGGACAGACAATAGCCCGATGGTGCAAGACAGACAATAGCCTGATGGTGCAGGACAGACAACAGCCTGATGGTGCAGGACAGACAATAGCCCGATGATACATGACAGACAATAGCCCGATGATACAGGACAGACAATAGTCAGATGACTGAGGACAGACAATAGCCCGATGGTGCAGGACAGACAATAGCCAGATGGTGCAGGACAGACAATAACCAGATGATACAGGACAGACAATAGCCAGATGGTACAGGACAGATGATAGCCAGATGACAGGACAGACAATGACCAGCTGACTCAGGACAGAAAATGACCAGATGTCTTGTGACAAACTGTGCAGCCTACCTCGAGCAAGTTCTCCTTTGAGATTCTGAGATCCTCCAACAGCTCCTCTTCCTGTCTGTCCAGCTGCCTTAAGCCATCCACGATGCTGTTGTACGGGTTTTTCTGCCAACAGTCAGCGCAAATATTAAATATATGGCTTGACAATATATCAGATGCTTGGCAATATATCAGATATCAACTATTAGTACACACAGACAGAATCTTAAATTCAAAAATCAACTTAATATATTTGGTACGGCCATCTAGTGAGGAATGTAGCCAGACCAACAACATATGAGAGTCTACAGCAGAACATATGGGAGGAAAGCGAGAGCAAGGCCAAGAAAGAGACGGATAAACAGTGTAGCTGAAACTTGCAGAAACATGAACAAATCCATTACCCAAACCACCCGAGAAGCGTAAGATAAATATAGAAAAACCACGACACTGGGCTTAACCTGGTATCAGCCTGGCTCGCTAGCGCAGTTGGTTAAAACCCTTTGCGCGGCAACCTGGTGACGACTCCTTGTGGTCCAGGTTCACCCCTGGGGGTAGGAAGAAAAGGCACATTGCTCCCATATTTACGATACCTATCATGGAATCAAGGCCGAAGAGTTGTGATATCCATTGTACCAAGCCAAAAGGTTTACAACTCATGGTTTCTGGATACTTTAAAAAAAAAAAACCTGGTATCAGTGAGACGATCAAAGAAAAGAACTATATAATGTCTGTATCTCCACCATGGCCAGTCTAAAGCGCAGGTGAGCAAGGAGGTGAGTCAGGCATGGGGCCAGCTCTCCCAGCCTGTAAGAATTAATCTGCTACAGAAACAAGGACAATCAAGAGAAACTCTAAAATGAACTCTGGTAAGAGATGCCAAAGGTGTTGGAATCTATTCCATCAATGATATCAAAACAACTGCACAGGACAGAACAGAATAAAGGACTAGAGTACAAGCACTATGTGACGTATACTGGCAGGACAGAACAGAATAAAGGACTAGAGTACAAGCACTGGCAGGACAGAACAGAATAAAGGACTAGAGTACAAGCACTGGCAGGACAGAACAGAATAAAGGACTAGAGTATAAGCACTATGTGACGTATACTGGCAGGACAGAACAGAATAAAGGACTAGAGTACAAGCACTATGTGACGTATACTGGCAGGACAGAACAGAATAAAGGACTAGAGTACAAGCACTGGCAGGACAGAACAGAATAAAGGACTAGAGTATAAGCACTATGTGACGTATACTGGCAGGACAGAACAGAATAAAGGACTAGAGTACAAGCACTGGCAGGACAGAACAGAATAAAGGACTAGAGTACAAGCACTATATGACGTATACTGGCAGGACAGAACAGAATAAAGGACTAGAGTACAAGCACTATATGACGTATACTGGCAGGACAGAACAGAATAAAGGACTAGAGTACAAGCACTATATGACGTATACTGGCAGGACAGAACAGAATAAAGGACTAGAGTACAAGCACTATATGACGTATACTGGCCGGACAGAACAGAATAAAGGACTAGAGTACAAGCACTATATGACGTATACTGCCAGGACAGAACAAAATAAAGGACTAGAGTACAAGCACTATGTGACGTATACTGGCAGGACAGAACAGAATAAAGGACTAGAGTATAAGCACTATATGACGTATACTGGCAGGACAGAACAAAATAAAGGACTAGAGTACAAGCACTATGTGACGTATACTGGCAGGACAGAACAGAATAAAGGACTAGAGTATAAGCACTATATGACGTATACTGGCAGGACAGAACAGAATAAAGGACTAGAGTACAAGCACTATGTGACGTATACTGCCAGGACAGAACAAAATAAAGGACTAGAGTATAAGCACTATATGACGTATACTGGCAGGACAGAACAGAATAAAGGACTAGAGTACAAGCACTACGTGACGTATACTGGCAGGACAGAACAGAATAAAGGACTAGAGTACAAGCACTACGTGACGTATACTGGCAGGACAGAACAGAATAAAGGACTAGAGTACAAGCACTACGTGACGTATACTGGCAGGACAGAACAGAATAAAGGACTAGAGTACAAGCACTACGTGACGTATACTGGCAGGACAGAACAAAATAAAGGACTAGAGTACAAGCACTACGTGACGTATACTGGCAGGACAGAACAGAATAAAGGACTAGAGTACAAGCATTATGTGACGTATACTGGCAGGACAGAACAGAATAAAGGACTAGAGTATAAGCACTATATGACGTATACTGGCAGGACAGAACAAAATAAAGGACTAGAGTACAAGCACTATATGACATATACTGGCAGGACAGAACAAAATAAAGGACTAGAGTACAAGCACTATATGACGTATACTGGCAGGACAGAACAGAATAAAGGACTAGAGTACAAGCACTATGTGACGTATACTGGCAGGACAGAACAGAATAAAGGACTAGAGTACAAGCACTATATGACGTATACTGGCAGGACAGAACAGAATGGAAGACAAGTGTGTAAGCAGTGTGTGACGTACATCAGCAGGACGGAATGATGATGATGATGATAGTCCTCTTAAAGAAAATTCACTTAGCCATGGATTGGAAAGAATAATAGAGAAGGCATGGTACCAGAAAAAAGTTTAGCCATGGGATAAAGTACATCTGTTTCTGTAGTGAGATGCCTTCACCATATGAATGAGTCAGGCTAAATTCCCTGTGTGATAACTAAAGCTTTTGATTTTTATGTTGTCTAGTGTGTCGTCCTATCTGTTCTTCTTTCCTCTACATCTATGAGTGTAAAACAACACATGTTAATTTGTTATCATGCTGTTACAAAAAAGTTACTTCAGTTCGCTTACCTTGATAAAAAGTTACTTAAGTACACTTAACCTGAGAAAAAGTTACTTCAGCCTACTGACCTTGATTAAAAAGTTACTTAAGTACACTAGTCCTGAGGAAAAAGTAACTTAAGTATGCTCACCTTGACAAACAGTTATTTAAGTACACCTACCTTGACAAAAAGTTACTTCAGTTTGCTTACCTTGACAAAAAGTTACTGAAGTACGCTTCACCTGAGAAAAAGTTACTTCATTCAGTCTGATTACCTTGATAAAAAGTTACTTAAGTACACTTACCTTGATAAAAAGTTATTAAAGTATGCTTCACCTGAGAAAAAGTTACTTCAGTCTGCTTACCTTGCTCCTGACGTACTCAATCTCCTCATTCAAATGCCTCAACTTCTCCATATAATTCTCCAGTTCTTCCTTGATCTGTTCTTCTTCTGCTTGCCGCTCTTTCTCCCTCTCTGTGTACCTGTTCTCCAGATCCATGATCTCCAGCCTGCAAACATACATACAAACTCTGAAGCACTATTGAGACACACATCGATGAGCGGGTCGCCCATTGGCTCGCCGGAAGACGACTTTGTCGCCGGTCGGGGCAGTATTTGGGTCTGTCTCCTTTGATCGCATCAAAACTGCAAGAGTCGTTTTCAGGGCTCTTGGTGGCGTGCAAAGCTAAGCCATTTTGTATGGTGCACATAACCTGGTCACAATTATAACCTAAAGCTCTCCCTTCAGGAATGCTGGTTGAACATGGCAGTTTTTTCTCCAGCAAAGTAGTTACCTACCTACCACTGGCGAGAATCCAAGTGACTGTATATCAGAACATAAATGTATAAGACTTCTGGTCAATATGGACGATAGGCAGGTTTACTGTTTTAAGTCGTGGCAAGTTTTTGCTTCTGACAATAGTTGGCTGTTGCATTTTCATCCACATGCAGACTGAAAAGATATAGTTTCGTCGCCCAGCTACTGAGTTCAGTGTATGGCACGTTACTGTGCATTTCATCTGGAATGTTATTAGACTGTGACCCAACACAGTTTGTGTTGTTAACTGCTGATTCAGAAAATGGTGAGTGGCCTGTTGCCACAGAACTAAGCGGTGGTGCCTTCTGTGTTGATGACATTTCTAGTGTTGGACTGTTTGTGTTAGCACTTCTGACGGCTGCTTTATGCATTTAATATGTGTGTTATTGGTTTTGCTGAGAACAGTGCTTGACATTCTGTGTGGTTTTTGTTGGCACAGGAACGGAGCAGCTATGGGGTGACCTGTTTGCTATGAAGTTGAAACTGTGACTACCTGATAATCTGATTACATGAGTGTATTTCAGAATGTGCTAAGGAAAGGAGGAACTTCATCCCGGCCTTTAAAATGTGCACAAGTGGGACAAGAATGATACAGGTACTGAGGTGAATTCATGTGGACAGGATTCGTGGTACATATTGCATGGAGGTCAAATACATGCGATAGCAGCAATAGTCCTGAAAACCCCTGCTCTAACTGTGGAAGACTTTTTTCAATACGGGCGGGTCTTGCCAGTCACACTCAGCATTGATCTTGGCCTGTGAGTCCCATGTCTCCCCACAGAACAATATAACAATATCATCTGGAAAGACATTTCAGATGCCAACAACAATGTCTATCAGAAAATGCATGCCATAAATAGTTTTTTGTGAGTAGTTTTTTCTAGTTCTGAAATTTAGCCTGGGACATATCCTAATATAGAGCGCTCTTTTAAATTTGAAGTCCCTGGGGATTTTTTTTTAACAAGTACAATGTTGGTTTCTTCACAGTTTACAAACACAATCTGCATGCTGACATAAAGGGGTCTTTAAATGAAAACATTAAAAGTATGATAGACATTAAATAAAAAGGCCACTGTCTAGTAACCCGTCAATATTGTTGTTAAGGAAGTCAGGAGTGTTAAGCACATCACATTATGGTAATTATGGTACAGATGAACATGGTGATGTAATAATAAGTTTAAAGATGGCCACCCCACTTCTAACATGCACCAAAGAGAAGCTGTGCTTTGTTATCTGTTCTTTTTTAATCATTAAAGAGGTGAAGGCTATAGAAATTCATCAGCAATTGAAGATCCAGTCTGACAATGCATGCCTGTCAGTCCAAGCAAGTCAGCAAGTGTATCAGTGGAGTAGCAAGTTTCAAAACAACTCTGGGGTCACTACTCGGTGTGCTTGAGCCGGTCATGAACAGGCTACAACAGAAGTCAGACCGCTTTGAAACTTCCTCTGAAGCTCCCTCATATGAATGAAACTCTGCCTAGTCTGACATGGGTTCAGTTGAATATTCAGTTCACATACACAGATTCAGATGACACACTGATTCTAACCAACACTCAAGGAAAACCTCTAAAAATCTAGTTAGTTAGCTGGCAGATTATTCTCATTGCACCTCAAACTGTCAGTAAGTGCTCCGAACCCCTCCTTAGTAAATCCCACAGCGTGTAGCGACTGACGACACCAGTTCTATGTTCTATTCTTCTTCTTTGGCTCCCTCAGTGCTCTTGTCTCCCCACACCCCTTTTACATTGCTTTTCTTGCAGTTTGACAGATACTGGTGGCACATTCACAGTTTCCACTTGATTCTGTAAAATGTCTTACTTTTCATACATAGAGAATTTAGTTTATCTTTTTCTTCTTCTTTTCTTCCACAATTTACCTCAGCGAGGTGTTGGGGAAAGATGTAAGGATCGTTTGTGCACTTTTTCCAATGCATTGTACAAGTTGGTGTTCATGTCTGTTAGGTTGCTACTGATGATGTCTATCCATCTCTTGCATGGTCTTCCCCTTGCTCTGTGTTCCTTATATTTAGTATATCAGCCTCTTAAAATATGACCAAATCTATTAATTTCACTGTGAAGCACAGGTCAGACTCCTCCTGGCATATGCCACGGAACAGCTAGAGACCTTTAAACATTTAGGTAGTTTGTTTTTTAAACATGCTTGTACCTGGCATATTAATAAAAAGGCCAGAATGTAGCAGTGCCTGTTAATCTTGTCCGATATCAATATTATGGCCAAGCATGCAAAAATTACCTCTTGTGCTCAAGTTCTTCTTGATCCTCTCTGTAAGTCGTACTGGAAATGTCCATCCTAATTGTGTCAAAACAAAATAATTGGTGTTTTTAATGATCAAAAAAGTACAACAAAAAATAATTTCAATTATTGGCACAGAGGTAAAATAAAAGTAGATGTTGTCAATCATTGACAGATGGGTAAAATAATTGTAGATGTTTTCAATCACTGAATAATATAGATAAAATAAAGATAGATGATTTTCAATCATTGACGCAGAGGTAAAATAAACATACATGTTTTCAATCCCTAACAATAGGTCAAATAAATGTAGATTTTTTCGATCAGTGACACATAGATAAAACAAAGGTGGATGTTTCAATCATTAACAAAGAGGTGAAATAAACACAGATGCTGACACAAAGACAAAATAAAGATATTCTTCTTGTTCATCTTCGCTCGTTCGCTTGAAATAGATTACCTATATCTGCAATACTATCTCTACTAGGAATTTTAATGTATAAACATATTAGAACATGTTTGCTGCTAATCCCACCTTCCCCCCAGCAGAGCATAGGCCCTCAACCAACTCACACCAAGTCATCCCATCCTTTGCTACTGCATGCGTCTCATCCTGGGTCCTTCCCATCTTTTTAACTTACTCTACAACACTTTTCTTGGAGGTGAAAGGAGGTGTGTCAGTGATCTGGTCTCCTTTTGGCTTTCTCCATACCTTATCATCAATATTTTTCTCTCTCTCTCTCTCTCTCTCTCTCTCTCTCTCTCTCTCTCTCTCTCTCTCTCTCATGTGTGTATTTGTGCATGAGTGCCTGCTTGTCTGGATGCATATCTGTCTGCTCCTAATGCATATATGAAACTCACAAGGATCCATTCAGCGCCAAGCTCTCGTTGGAGCGGTACAGATCAGACATGGACTGGCTCAGCAGGCTCAGACGAGGGGAGATCATGCTGTTGTGTTCCCCCTGGGGTAAGCTCAGAGCTGACACAGACTGCAGAACAAATGTTACATCTTACATCCAGTTAGTGCAGACACAGACTGCAGAACAAATGTTACATCTTACATCCTGTTAACTCATTTAACAGAAACCTTAGCTTTGGTGTTTACTTAAAATGTTAAACACTATAGTCCAATTAGCATACATCTGAGAAGCCACATCGGGACGGGTTCAAATTCCTGAATAGGAACATTTTTTAATGGCTCCATGGTCACCTTGCTGCCGTGGCGTATCAGCTAGGCGATCGCCTGCAGATCCAAATGTCATGGGTTTAGGTTCTTTCTTTTAAAAAAAATGACCTTGGCTCACAAGTCAACCCAGCCTTAAATGAGTACCTGGTAAAGTCCTAGGAAGTAAAGGTGGCTGGCACAATATTGTCTACATCACCCATCGAGTGCTGATAGGTCTATAAAATATAGGTCTAGCCCTTTATGTTTAATAAGCCTGAAGGCGTGAAAAAGGGCATCTACCCTGCACTTTAAGGAAGTATATCGGTCTTATCTCTCTCTACATCCTAGGGTAGAAGTACAAGACTACAAGGTCTTATTTCCCTCTACATCCTAAGGTATAAGTACGAGACTACAAGCTCTTATCTTTCTCTACATCCTAAGGTATAAGTACAAGACTACAAGCTCTTATCTCCCTCTACATCCTGGGGTAGAAGTACAAGATTACAAGGTCTTATCTCCCTCTACATCCTAGGGTAGAAGTACAAGACTACATAGTCTTATTTCCCTCTACATCCTAGGGTAGAAGTACAAGACTACAAGGTCTTATTTCCCTCTACATCCTAAGGTAGAAGTACAAGACTACAAGCTCTTATCTTTCTCTACATCCTAAGGTAGAAGTACAAAATTACAAGGTCTGATTTCCCTCTACATCCTAAGGTAGAAGTACAAGACTACAAGATCTTATTTCCCTCTACATCCTAGAAGTACAAGATTACAAGGTCTTATTTCCCTCTACATCCTAGGGTAGAAGTACAAGACTACAAGATCTTATTTCCCTCTACATCCTAAGGTAGAAGTACAAGACTACAAGCTCTTATCTTCTTCTTCTTCTTTCGTTCGCATGAAATAAATTGTCTATATCTGCAAAGCTGTCTCTAGTATGAATTTCACTGTCTTTTGTAATTCACTAAGCGGCCCGTAAAGTTTGACTTCCACAAGTGTCTCTTTTGGCCAAAGGTTTTGCCTGAAAGCGTTGAATCTGGGACAGTCTTGAAGGATGTGATCTGTTGTTTCAGGTGCCAGTCCACAAGTACACATGGCTGATTGGCCAATCTTAAATTTGTTGTACATGTGGGAGCGAAGTCGATTGTGCCCTGTTCTAAGGCGAAGGATAATGACTTGCTCTGGTCTGTCCATAATATGGTAATCATCTTGTGCCAGTTTCGGTGGCATTCTGATTGATTTGATCATTCTCTTCTTCTGTGGATAAGAGACTGGTATGTTAGGTTGTTCTTCAGTTGCACCTTCCTTAGCTAGTTTATCAGCTTTTTCGTTTCCGGGAACTCCACAGTGGGAAGGTATCCACTGCATTACTAATTTACAGCGGTTGCCTAGTTCGGATAATAGTGTCCGTATGCTTGGTAATTTTCCAGACTGAAGTGACTGAACAAGCTCTTATCTTTCTCTACATCCTAAGGTAGAAGTACAAGACTACAAGCTCTTATCTTTCTCTACATCCTAAGGTAGAAGTACAAGACTACAAGGTCTTATTTTCCTTTAAATCCTAGGGTAGAAGTACAAGACTACAAGATCTTATTTCCCTCTACATCCTAGGGTAGAAGTACAAGACTACAAGATCTTATTTCCCTCTACATCCTGGGGTAGAAGTACAAGACTGCAAGATCTTATTTCCCTCTACATCCTAGGGTAGAAGTACAAGACTACGAGGTCTTATTTCCCTCTACATCCTAGGGTAGAAGTACAAGACTACGAGGTCTTATTTCCCTCTACATCTTAGGGTAGAAGTACAAGACTACAAGATCTTATTTCCCTCTACATCCTAGGGTAGAAGTACAAGACTACAAGATCTTATTTCCCTCTACATCCTAGGGTAGAAGTACAAGACTGCAAGGTCTTATTTCCCTCTACATCCTAGGGTAGAAGTACAAGACTACAAGGTCTTATTTCCCTCCACATCCTGGGGTAGAAGAACAAGACTACAAAGTCTTATTTCTCTCTACATCCTAGGGTAGAAGTACAAGACTACAAGATCTTATTTCTCTCTACATCCTAGGGTAGAAGAACAAGACTACAAGGTCTTATTTTCCTCTACATCCTAGGGTAGAAGTACAAGACTACAAGATCTTATTTCCCTCTACATCCTAGGGTAGAAGTACAAGATTACAAGATCTTATTTCTCTCTACATCCTAGGGTAGAAGTACAAGACTACAAAATCTTATTTCCCTCTACATCCTAGGGTAGAAGTACAAGACTACAAGATCTTATTTCTCTCTACATCCTAGGGTAGAAGTACAAGACTACAAGGTCTTATTTCCTCCACATCCTAGGGTAGAAGTACAAGACTACAAGGTCTTATTTTCCTCTACATCCTAGGGTAGAAGTACAAGCCTACAAGGTCTTATTTCCCTCTACATCTTAGGGTAGAAGTACAAGCCTACAAGGTCATTTCCCTCTACATCTTAGGGTAGAAGTACAAGCCTACAAGGTCTTATTTCCCTCTACAGCCTTGGGTAGAAGTACAAAACTACAAGGTCTTATTTCCCTCTACATCCTAGGGTGCTAGTACAAGACTACAAGGTCTTATTTCCCTCTACATCCAAGGGTAGAAGTACAAGACTACAAGGTCTTATTTCCCTCTACATCCGAAGGTACAAGTTCTAGATTACAAGGTCTTATTTCTCTCTACATCCCAGGGTAGAAGTACAAGACTACAAGGTCTTATTTCCCTCTACATCCTAGGGTAGAAGTACAAGACTACAAGATCTTATTTCCCTCTACAGCCTTGGGTAGAAGTACAAGACTACAAGGTCTTATTTTCCTCTACATCCTAGGGTAGAAGTACAAGACTACAAGGTCTTATTTCCCTCTACATCCTAGGGTAGAAGTACAAGACCTTATTTCCCTCTCCATCCTAGGGTATAAGTACAAGACTACAAGGTCTTATTCTCCTCTACATCCTAGGGTAGAAGTACAAGATTAAAAGGTGTTATTTCCCTCTAAATTAAGATACCATAACAGTAAACATATTTCATTTTATCAACTTTTTTCCATTTACTGACTAACCTTTCTGACCTGCATAGACTTTTTCATTTCCCGGGCCTCTTCTGGATTGTTGTACCGGTACACATTGGTCTGACCCAGCGTGATCAGCATGCCTGTTTGCATGAACACAGAAAATAAAAACAATGCTAGAACTATTATTGATTGTCCAGTTAATAACTGCAAGTACTGACTACAGTAAATGCTATCAAATTAACATTTATGACTATTTGTATTAATCTACTAATTTTAAATGCTCTCAGTTTACTAGATGCTCAGTCTCCAAAGGCTCAGGAGGCTGTGTTACACCTGGAGAGTGGATGATGGTAGAGTCCCATTTTCTAGGTTAATTACAGACGGTTAGAAGATGTCAACACTGACCTCTGCTACAATATAAAGATGTGTGCAAATAAGAATTAAAGATATAGGTATCTAGGTAGATTTATGGGAACAAAATGCTCAGGACTTGGCTGCATAGAGGGGGGGGGGGGGGGGGGAGAAATCAGGAATCAATAGGGAATGACAGAATAAATTATTGCAGATAGGTGATCACTGAGCGTCTGAGAAGAATCACACTAAATGTTTGTGATGTCAACAACGGCAGTGAAATCTCATGATCTAATTGTGGAAGACTTTTCTTAACGATGGCAGTTCTTGCTAGTCGCACTCGCCATCACCATGGGCTGTCAGTCCCATGCATCCCCACATCACAATATAACACTATCCTCTGCAATGACAAAAAGGTGCCAACATTACTTTTTTTTTTAATAACTACATTTCATAGGCACAATTTGTGAAGGCGAGAATGAATGCATCATGACAATGGGAAAGTCAGAGGGAAAGACAGGCAGAGGAAGACCAAGAGAAAAGATTTGAGACTGTTTGGCATCATGACATGGAAGAAGATCCGCATCGAATATAACTGACAGAACATGGGACAGCAGGCTGTGGACATACATGTTTACTAATACACTTTAGCTTGAACTACAGAAACATTGCACAATGTAGAAGAACTACCCACTGGATGATTATTGGGGGAGGGGGGGGGGGGGGACAGACTTACTGCCCCAAAACAAGTAGGTCATAAAAGTTGACTAATTAATTAGGGTTTTGCCGAAACTGGATGTGAGAGCTGAAAGGTGCAAATATTGCAGCCTTGCTGTAAACCACAACACATCATGCCAAACACCATTGAGAGGGTGAACATGAAAGAAGGATATGAAGAATAACAAACAATGATAATATTGATGATGATGACAACGATGAAGAAGAAGAAGAAGATGATGATGAATAATTTGCTCAGCTGTTCCTACCCTGAGTCAGTCTGGTTGGTTCCTTCACCACCTGCCCGTTGATAGCACACAAGGAACCCTCGATGGGATGAAGGACAACCACACCATCTTTATGTTCTATGACACAATGCTCTGGTTCCACATTAGCTCCAGAAATGGCTGCAGAAGAAGGTAATTACGTTTTATTATATCAGCATGTTCTGGTTACAGAAGTGTACATATTTAAATTCTCCTAGTGGGTTCTGGGGCTCATAAGGGGTGGGGGGTGGGTTAAAATAAGGGGGGGGGGAGTACACTCGCTGCCTCCCTAACAAGCATGTCATTAGATTCAACTAAGTAGGGGTTTTCTTCAAAGTCAAAGTGCATATACCTGAGAGGTAAGGAACCAGCAGTCTGCATACTCACAAGCTGGATCTGTAAGAAGGGATGTGCACACAGATCTCAAGTTCTAAAGCAAGACTACAGTTCAGAAGTGGATGAACAACCAGGACTTTCCATCAGAGAACAGCTTGTGAACATGATGATGATGATGAAGAAGAAGATATGTTTTAAAATGATGAATGGTCTATCTCCAGAAGTGGCTGCAGAGGAGGGTGATCAAAGTTTCAATACACTGGGCATGTTCTGACCCTGCTTGTATCAACAGTTATAAGATCAAGAAGACAACAATACACTGGGCATGTTCTGACCTGGCTTGTATCAACAGTTATAAGAACAAGAAGACAGCAATACACTGGGCATGTTCTGACCATGCTTGTATCAACAGTTATAAGAACAAGAAGACAACAATACACTGGCCATGTTCTGACCTTGCTTGTATGAACAGTTATAAGAACAAGAAGACAACAATACACTGGCCATGTTCTGACCTGGCTTGTATCAACAGTTATAAGAACAAGAAGACAACAATACACTGGGTATGTTGTGACCTGGCTTGTATCAACAGTTATAAGAACAAGAAGACAACAATACACTGGCCATGTTCTGACCTTGCTTGTATGAACAGTTATAAGAACAAGAAGACAACAATACACTGGGCATGTTCTGATCTTGCTTGTATCAACAGTTATAAGAACAAGGAGACAGCAATACACTGGCCATGTTCTGACCTTGCTTGTATCAACAGTTATAAGAACAAGAAGACAACAATCCCTTTGGCATGTTCTGACCTGGCTTGTATCAACAGTTATAAGAACAAGAAGACAACAATACACTGGCCATGTTCTGACCTTGCTTGTATCAACAGTTATAAGAACAAGGAGACAGCAATACACTGGCCATGTTCTGACCTTGCTTGTATCAACAGTTATAAGAACAAGAAGACAACAATCCCTTTGGCATGTTCTGACCATGCTTGTATCAACAGTTATAAGAACAAGAAGACAACAATACACTGGCCATGTTCTGACCTTGCTTGTATCAACAGTTATAAGAACAAGGAGACAGCAATACACTGGCCATGTTCTGACCTTGCTTGTATCAACAGTTATAAGAACAAGAAGACAACAATCCCTTTGGCATGTTCTGACCATGCTTGTATCAACAGTTATAAGAACAAGAAGACAGCAATACACTGGGCATGTTCTGACCTTGCTTGTATCAACAGTTATAAAAACAAGGAGACAGCAATCCCTTTGGCATGTTCTGACCTGGCTTGTATCAACAGTTATAAGAACAAGAAGACAACAATACACTGGCATGTTGTGACCTGGCTTGTATCAACAGTTATAAGAACAAGAAGACAACAATACACTGGCCATGTTCTGACCTGGCTTGAATCAACAGTTATAAGAACAAGAAGACAACAATACACTGGCCATGTTCTGACCATGCTTGTATCAACAGTTATAAGAACAAGAAGACAACAATACACTGGGTATGTTGTGACCTGGCTTGTATCAACAGTTATAAGAACAAGAAGACAACAATACACTGGGTATGTTGTGACCTGGCTTGTATCAACAGTTATAAGAACAAGAAGACAACAATACACTGGGTATGTTGTGACCTGGCTTGTATCAACAGTTATAAGAACAAGAAGACAACAATACACTGGGTATGTTGTGACCAGGCTTGTATCAACAGTTATAAGAACAAGAAGACAACAATATACTGGCATGTTGTGACCTGGCTTGTATCAACAGTTATAAGAACAAGAAGACAACAATACACTGGCATGTTGTGACCTGGCTTGTATCAACAGTTATAAGAACAAGAAGACAACAATACACTGGGTATGTTGTGACCTGCCTTGTATCAACAGTTATAAGAATAAGAAGACAACAATACACTGGCATGTTGTGACCTGCCTTGTATCAACAGTTATAAGAACAAGAAGACAACAATACACTGGGCATGTTGTGACCTGGCTTGTATCAACAGTTATAAGAACAAGAAGACAACAATACACTGGACATGTTGTGACCTGGCTCGTATCAACAGTTATAAGAACAAGAAGACAACAATACACTGGGCATGGCCACATCTTGAGGAGAAGCAAGCAGAGAACCATTCTACAGGTACTAAAATGGGAAACAAATGTATGATTTTTTTTTTCAGAGTGGTGGTATACAAGAGAAGCTCTAAAATAAATGTTTTTAACAGATGTTCAAGCCCTAAGTGTTGTATAACGGAACCATAAGATGATGGTGATGATGATGGTCTGATGTTCTGGCTTCAAATTTGGCAACAAAAGATTTTACAGTAGTGATAGTTTTTTTTTTGCAGTGAGTGAGTGAGTGAGTGAGTAAGTGAGTGAGTGAGCAAGCGAGCAAGCGAGTGAGTGAGTGAGTGAGTAAGTGAGTGAGTGAGTGAGTGAATGAGCGAGCTTGCGTAATGCCACACAATGGCAACATACCATGAACAGGAGTGAGTCAGTGAGTGAGGCAGATGTGTTTGTGTGTGTATGTGCGTGAGAGAGAGTGTGTGTGTGTGTGTGTTAGCATCAGTATATGTTTGAAATAATGTTTGTGTATGTGTGTGATATGTTAAATATAAACAATAAAAGACTGTGTGTGAAAAAGAGCATATATTGGTGCAGTAGTGTAAAAGAGAACCAAAAAATGCAACACAACTCAGAATACAGTGGATCGGTAAGCATGATGTGATTTCAATGCGATCTAAAGACACACACACACAAATTTGTCACACAAAATCAAAACCAGACACAATAACTACAAAAATGAGAACTCACTGATGTCCTGAGGTTCATCAGACTCATCAGAACCAATCTTGGTGATGCCCTCCTGTAACAAACGTGGTCATGAGAAGCTCTGTCATTTTACTATCACTTCAGAGACACAGTAAGTTCACATTTCAATATGGCTGGATACAAGGCTGCTAGCTGTGGTATGTGTGGCTCAGGGGCTTAGTTGTGGGTGATCAATCGACCGATCAGATTATCCTTATGAGGCTGCCATCTAAAAGTTTGCCATACCATCCTGAGATTTTTTTTTTTTTTTTTTAGCATTCACTAAACTCTGTTGGAAAGTTCTGGTTGTATGTCCACTTCTAGACTTTGGTCTCTTCCACAACTTGAATATAGCACATATGGTTTAGAGATCTATTTATTTGTATGCAGACTGTTGGTTCCCCACCCCTCAAACAGATGCGCTCCGACTTTAGAGGAACAAATCCCTAATAAGTCGCCTTTTATGATATGCTTGATAGATAGTTAATCAGTTTATTCTTTGTCTTCCCCCAAAATGGGGCTCCGGAACTCAAATGGGAAATCCTGAGATTTAAAAAAAATCTCAGTCTGGATGGCAGACCAACAAGGCAGATTCCAGATACCCTGTGCAACCTCAAAAGAGTTATAGTTAGGGCATTCATAGTGGCTGCACCAGACGTGATGAGTTTAGAGTTATTTACAGCAGTGTTCTGACAGCCACTTCAGGTGGCTTCATCATCATTATATAATGACAGTGATAATGACAGTGATAATGACAGTGATAATGACAGAGATGATGACAGTGATAATGACAGTGATGATGACAGTCATAATGACAGTGATAATGACAGTGATAATGACAGAGATGATGACAGTGATGATGACAGTCATAATGACAGTGAGGATGACAGTCACAATGACAGTGAGGATGACAGTCACAATGACAGTGAGGATGACAGTCACAATGACAGTCACAATGACAGTGATGATGACAGTCATAATGACAGTGAGGATGACAGTCACAATGACAGTGAGGATGACAGTCACAATGACAGTGAGTATGACTGTGATTATGACAGTGATTATGACAGTGAGATGAAAGTCATAATGACAGTGAGGATGACAGTCATAATGACAGTGAGGATGACAGTCATAATGACAGTGAGGATGACAGTCATAATGACAGTGAGGATGACAGTGATCCTGACAGTGAGGGTGACAGTGATCCTGACAGTGAGGGTGACAGTGATCCTGACAGTGAGGATGACAGTCATAATGACAGTGAGGATGACAGTCATAATGACAGTGAGGGTGACAGTGATCCTGACAGTGATCCTGACAGTGAGGGTGACAGTGATCCTGACAGTGAGGGTGACAGTGATCCTGACAGTGAGGGTGACAGTGACAATGACAGTGAGGATGACAGTAATGATGACAGAAACAGCAATAATGACAATCATTACAATAACAACAGTAGTTTCCCACCTTCAGATGAAACAGCATGACACCAGTGCTGAGAAGGTCATCGCTGATGCCAATCAGATGAGGCAAGGTGGAGTCCAGAACCACGCCCACACCTTCATGCCGCAGGGCCAGACTCTTCTCTCTCATCAAACTGGCAGACTCGTTCCACTTCTCCGCCCACTCTTCAGTCAAAACTTTCACCTGAAATTGGGAGGGGGTGGGGATAGGGGGGGATATTTTGTTCAGGTAATCACAAGCTAAGATCTCCCACCCTTCTTTTTTTTTTTTCCTTAGCGTTCACGGGCTGTAAACTATGGCAGAAAGTTCTGCTTGTTTGTCCACTACTGGACTTTTGTCGTGATTCGGAATTTGAGTTGTGCATGAACATCCATTTTACAAACCTAGCTTATTTGTATGCAGACGGTTCTTTGCCTCTCAGGGTGATGCACTCCAACTCTGAAGGAAACGCCCCTAATCAGTCGCCCCCTGTGAAATGCCTGTCAGGGTGGGGGGGGGGGGGGGGGGAGGGGGCAGTGGGTCCAATCATTGTTCTCCAAGATGGAACCCCTGGAACCCACCCCAGCCAGGGTCTTTTTTTTTTTTTTCAAAGTGATCTTGACTTCAAGGTCAACCTAACCTAAAGCTGATACCAGCAAATGTTCTCAGGAGTAAAGTCAATGGAATGAATGAATCAATCGAGAATTGACAACACTGCACTCAGGACAATCCCACATGTGCTCCATCCACTTCTTCAGCAGTAAACAAAGAGTCGACATGCTGTCGCAGCTGCCCTTGTTTTCTAATTCTTACTCTATCTTTATTTACCAATGGATAAGATATCAAGCTCAGTACACGCACAAAACTGCTCCGGCCAGGGAAGAGTCAACGGAAGAGCTGTGGTAGTGCAGCGGCTAAACGCTCACTTGCCGCCCCAATGGCCTTAGGTTTGAATCCACACCAGGCAGATTTTTTTCATTTTTTTATTTCCTGAAAAGTAAAGGTGTTGGACATAATGCTGACCACATCACCCATCGAGAGCCGATTGGCCTATACACTCAGGAGCCTAGCATCATATACCCGATACACCACTGGAGTCAAAGAGTCCTGTTTTCTTCTCAAAGTAACTGGACATGGTAATAATGTCCACAACACTTAGCAAACGAGGACTGGGGTCTATGGAAATCTTGCACCAGCTCCGTGTATGCGATAAATCTCAAAATATGTTTTACCGAGACCAAAATATTGCAATTGTTTTCTTTAATTTCTTTGATTAGGTCCCCTTTCAGTCCTGGCACCTCTAGAACATCTATAATTTTGTTTCCATGGAAAGTCTTTGTATACTTCCACATCTCCAGGTCTTCAATTGATCTATCCAGTACCTTATTTATTGTCCACGTCTGTGTGCCTCCACAGCAGTAACACTGACAATTCCTATGTTTAATGTGTTGTTTATCTTTGTAGATGTTTTTCTCGCTTTGAAAATATTAGGAGGGGCATTCATATTTTTTTTTCTATGATTTTTTTTGACTTCTCTCATCATACAGGACACCTTTCTACACCAGTGGTGCAGCTGACATATGGTGCTAGCCTCATACTTGTATAGACCAATCGGGGCTAGGTGGGTGACGTGGTCAGCATCACCGCAGCCGCCTTTACTTAAAAGGCTTTATAGCTGGTACCCATTTTAGGCTGGGTCAACCCGGAAGTCAAGGTCATTTTTTAAAAAGAAAATCAGACTCTTTACAGATCCGAACCCAAGACCTTCGGGCCAGAGATGAACATCTAGCCACTACACCACTGCAGCTCCCACCATCATACTGATAGACATTTTAACATATGGACTGGAAGAAGTCAACGTGAGTCTAATATGACCCAGAGGTCAGAACTTGAATCGAACTCAAGTGCGATTTACTAACAACTTTTGACTTCACTTGGAGTATTTTCTAGCAACTCGTGACTTGACATGCGACTTGTAGTTTCAATGACTTAGTACGACTCATTCTTCATGGCAAGCCACTTTGAAGTTTGATGATAAATGTCATGGTTTAAAACATATAAAATCAAAATCTAACAACTGTTGGCTATTGTTCTGGTATTATAACAGATTAACTAGTTTAATCAATAAGCACTGTTTCATGCACAACTTGCAAATGACTTAATACATGAGGAGACTTGACTCTGAGTCATTCTGGGTGACTTGAGACTTGACTTAGGACATGATGTCAGTGACTTGGGACTCGACTAGGACCTGAAGGGTGACGACTTGGTTCAACCTCTACTATGAACAGTTGGAAACATTACAAACAACCTCAAGTATGGAGATGGCACCTAATTCTAATGCATTTACCCAAAAAAGAATCCATCAGTACCGAACATACTGCCAGACAAGAAGCTCAAAAATATCAAACATTTCACTTACCCTGGCTTCGTTTTCATGCAGCTTTTCCTGCACTCGCGGAGAGGTATCCTGTAACAAGAAACAAGAGGTCAAGTTTTGTCATTAGTCCACGGTCAATAACTTGACATAGAAAATGGAGCTCACGAGTTTTAGAGGAATTGTCAATGTTCTACATTACTTTCTACTACAGGTTTAGAGGCACTGTCATCGTCTTCGGTCTTCGAAGTTATTCCTTTCTCTAAATTTTCAGCCCTGTTACTCATTCTCATGCAAACTGACTGACTCATTCTAATTCTGCCTCTCTCTGATGCCCTAGGGGTAGAGTAGTGGCTCTCAAACTTCCTAATGTCCCGACCCTTTAATACATTGTCTCCTGTTGTGGCGACCTACAAACAATTATTTTCCTTCATAACTTCAATGTGTATGTGTTTTTCTATGGTCTTAGGCGACCCCTGTGAAAGGATCATTCGACCCCCAGGTTGAGAACCACTGGTGTAGAGGTATGTTAAACTGTCATGGGGTCTAGATTCGTGGTTTGGACACCCATGGCCTAGAAGAATTACAGTACTTTAGGATTTAGCTATTTCCACATCTACCCAGAAAGATTACAGTACTTTAAGGTTTAGCTATCTCCACATCTACCCAGAAAGATTACAGTACTTTAAGGTTTAGCTATTTCCACATCTACCCAGAAAGATTACAGTACTTTGAGGTTTAGCAATTTCCACATCTACCCGGAAAGATTACAGTACTTTAGGGTTCAGTTATTTCCGCATCTACCCAAAAAGATTACAGTACTTTAAGGTTTAGCTATTTCCATATCTACCCAGAAAGATTACAGTACTTTAAAGTTTAGCTATTTCCACAACTACCCAGAAAGGTTACAGTACTTTAAGGTTTAGCTATTTCCACATCTACCCAGAAAAATTACAGTATTTTAGGGTTTAAGTAATCCCACATTTATGAAGCAGTTTTACAGTACTTTGAGATTTAAGTAATTCCATTTTTCTCCAGCAGTATTACAGTACTTTAGGATTTAAGTAACTCTACTTTTACTCAACAGTATTACATTACTTTAGAATTTAAGTAATTCCACTTTTTATCCAACAGTAATACAGTACTTTAGGATTTAAGTAATGGCACTTTTTATCCACTAGTATTACAGTACTTCAGAATTTCAGTTTTAATTAATTACACTTTTAACAAGAAGTATTAAAGTACTCCTGGACTTTAGTATTTCTAGATTTATTCATTCCACCCAAAAGTATTAAAGGACGATACAATTCATTACATATTTCTAGTATAACAGTCCCTAAAGATCTTATTTACTATTTATTTAGTCTTGTCTTTACTACCCTTGAGAGTAGCAGATAAAGGAGAATGCATACACCATTACAATCTAAGAAAACAAATATTAAATGCTGGACATTTGAAGCTGGTAAGAAAATGACTTTTACATGGAAATTGCTCCTCGTTGCTGAATATAAGTAGAGAGATTGAAACACTTACCACGTTTCCTTCCAATAAAGATCGGAGTCGTGCAATCTCCTCTCTTAATTCTCGTATAAGTTTCACATTTGCATCCTGAAAACAATCAAGAGAAAAATACATCTCAGATTCTCATTTAATCTTCTCACACTGAGAACACTAAATCAATGGGTAGGGACCCCGCTGAAACTCCAGAAAAATCCTTTAACAAAAACAATTTTACACAGGTCACTAATAATTTTGTTACAAAATGTATTTTTCTATTTGCTTTAAATTGTTAGTGTGTTTTTGTTGTTCAAATATACAAAGATCTATGAAGAGGATAATCAATAGACATAAACATCATGAAGTAGTAAAGGAATACATTCCTCAGGAAATCCCCCCCCCCCCTTATATATATATACATATATGACTCATACCTTGACCTCTACCACTGAGGCCTATGGGAAATTTTGAAACTAATGTGGCATTTAACTCTTTCAGGCCCATGAATTTTGACAGACTTGGCCCACATTAATTTCCCTTTACAAAAATGGCAGATGGGTGGGTGTACAAGAAAGGCTGTAGAGATTGTAATATACTTCTAATCCCTATAAAAGTATATATTTTTTAAAAGAGAAATGAATGTACTTTTTGAATCTGATGATAAGTGTTTGTTTGATTTCGTTATAGTTAGTGGAAAAGAAGAATTCAGCAGGTGTTAATTTCACAAGGACAACATTTCACAAAAAAATTCTTCACTTACCATGGTTTTGCAGCCACAAGAATAGTAAATATCCAAATTTGAGAACAAAACTTCAAAGTTTGTTCAATTTCCTAACATATTCTAAAGTTATGATAACTTTCTGGGTTAGTTTATCACTCAGGGGGCTCTTAGTTCCCACCGAGTGCTAAGCAAAATTTCAGAGAAAAAATGGCAGAAAAATGAGCATTACACACACACTATTTACTATTCACTTTGTACAGTTATTTACAGACTGTAGCTGCGATGATTTCAATGTAGCTTAGCCATAGTATAGTACTTCTCTTTGTTTAGAGCACTTTCCTTCTTTTACACCATAAATATGGTAGTATGGGACATTGTGTAATAAACTCGTCAGAATCGCTAGATTCCGAACAGCTGATCGCTCAGCTTCACTGGTGAAAATTCACTGTCCGAATCACTTTCCGAAAAATCTAAATTTTAATTATCATTATCACAATTAAAAACATCTTACTGAAACAATTTCAGAGCTTCGGCCGCAGAAAGACGCATTCTGGGACCTGTTCTTGTGGTTAGAACATTGGTATTCAGTGCTCTCAAAAACGAACTTAGAAAATTAACTGTTAAAAAAAATTTGATGTTTTTTTCTCTCAAATTATCCACGTGTGGTTTAGTCCAAGAAATGAAACTAAAAGGATTTCGTCAGAGTGACTTTCCCTGAATAGGTTATTTGTACCTCCAAACATTAAAAACTAGTACGAACGCGCGTGCGAAGCAAAATGTAAGAGATACACAATTAACGATGACACCGTTGTTTGGGCAGAACGGAACTTCTCAAACTACGCTCACACCGTTGTTTGGGCCTTAAAGAGTTAAAAAACTATTTAGTTCAATCCCCCCCCCCCCCCCAACCCCACTCCCGCATTTTTTGATAACGTTTTTATATCCTGATCTCCTAAATGTTTGCGCAGACACAAAAACAGCCAATAGCATTAACTATGTGTCTCGTAAACAGGGCACTGTATGCAAGTCGGAAAAGTGACATTTACAAGGAACTGGACCCGACTATAAGTGCTGGTTTGCAGGCTTCTCGGGATAAAAGGGCTGAACACAATAAAAACAAGATAACAATTACAGAAAGAGGTACAAGGAATAAGTTTACAAAGAACTTGCCATGATGTGGTTGAGGCTTAAGCATTTGGAGACAAAAGGCAGAAGAAGCGTAACATAATTAACATTGCAGTTATCATTTCTTCTTTTATCCTCTGCCTTTTATAAAAGAAATTTAAAAATTGACACTTCTGATAACAAAATCTCAACAGAAATACCAGTTAAGTTTTTTTAAAAACCAGAATGTTCTCTTTGGTTCACAAAGCAGCAGCACTGACCTCATTCACAGTTGGTCTGTTAATGATGTTCTTGGCTCGATTGGCGTACCTCAAAGTGCTCAAGGTCTCGCCATAATTCACGTCTGCTGGAGAAATGGCTGAAAACAATCAAGAATATGCACTGATAACAACTTTAAAGAAACCGCTGAACCAATGAAAAAAAAAAGGAAATACTTGGCATGACCTGTATAAAGTAATGACCCAATCTAAGAAAAGTTGGCTTTCATAATCAAACTTCAACACATTGGATGGTAAATGAACAATAAACATATATGTAGGTAGCTCAGATGTTAAAAAAAAAAAAACATTTCAACAAAATATTTATCCATGAATTACCCACTTCATCCCCTTTTTAAATTGCAGGCTTGTTTATTTTGGTTAAAATCTCACTGTGTGAGTTCCAGGGGGAAGGTGGTGGGGAGGGGGGGGGGGTGTATAGACGCAGTGCCCTCCTAACAAGCATGTTGTAAGAGAAAACTAATCAGGGCTGTTTCCTTTGAAGTCGGGGTGCATTCTGCCTGAGGATGAGGAACCAACAGTCTGCACATATATTGCAGATCTGTAAAATGGATGCGCATGCAAAATTCAAGTTCTGGATCAAGACAAGAAAAGAAGAAGGTTAAAATCTTTGCTTGTTTATGTGTGCAACTTGCCTCTGTTGAGCCAATTACTTATAATTTGTGTTAATTTTATTTATTTTTTTCTTTATATCAGCATGACAGTGGCAACCAGGTTAAAAGTAGACCTATTTGTCCCCCTGTATGTTGAGTTAGTTAGTAAGTAGCGTATCCTTTACAGGATGTTGCAGAACCAACCCAAGCATTTTTCCATGTGGTTTTTTTAAGGAATATTTTACGTTCAGTAGTTTGCCACTGCTTTTCTGAACGGTCAACTATTAGTACCACTGTTAGAACCAACGCAAGACAAACCGTCCGCAGCTGGGATGGAAACCAGCATCCTGGCATTACAAAGCACATTCACAATGCCTAAGCAACAGATGCCGACATATGTTAAGTTTCAAATGTAAACTATCCTTTTTAATCACTGAGTCAGTATAAGCAGGATGGATACTGTCTGGTCAGGTGTTCTGCTGCACAATTTGACCCAGAGAGCTTTTACCACAGCGCATCATAAAGTAGCTCCCATCTCAGAGGAGCAGCAGCAGTGAATCCATCAGCTTGCTCACAGCTGAAAAGAGTACGCCCGCGTGTGCACACACACACATCCTGGGAGAAATCCATACATGCTCTTAACCTTAGACCACATGACTGACTAGGCTGCAAGTATTTCTGACTTTTTAAAGAGTTCTGAAGCAGCCATTACTCTCTATGCCACCATATGTCTCAGACTACCCTTAGTGGCAAGCCCAAGCCAACTGAGAAGCAGCTGGCCACATGATTAGGAACATAGGACTCCTGTGGTCTGAATCATTGGTAAGCTTGGGGATTATTTTCTGACAGGGACACTAAATACAATCTTAACCTGCACGGTCCATGGCAACAGCACTAGCCATGTGACCTTAAATCCTCAGACCCGCTTTGCCTACACTAAAACAAGTAGTTAATACAGGTAGTGATGATAGTGTCTATAAGCTAATCAACAGACACAAAGCCTTTCCTTGACCAACTCAATCTTCCTCTGAACAAAACAACTCACTGGCTATCATGACTGTCTTTGCATTGCCTCCCAAACTGTCCTTGAGCAGCCAAGTCAGGACTGAGTCTCGGTAGGGGATGAAAGCATGTCTGCCTTTGGTTCCATTTTCTGACCTTTCAGCTGAGGATGAACAGGTGAAACCCAGTGTAAAGATTCTGAGAAAACTTGTTAATAACATAACTAGAAGGTTCTTTCTCTAGAACCCGCATGACAAAAGAAACAGAAGGAGATCTATAAACACGCGAAGAAGAGAATTAGCAACATAAATTAAACATGGAGAGAAAATGGAATAAGTTACAGAAGACAGTTTTCAGATTTCATTGTCTGCTTCCATTTCAATTCTCATAAGATATACTTTAACTCTTCTAATATCACTCAAACACTCCACAGGTTTCTTGGCAACTTCAAAGACAGAATTATGCTCCTACTCTTTTCTATCAGTGACACATGTTATATCTTCTTCTTCTTCTTCTTCTCTTCCACCATCTCTATCAACTAGTTAAATGTGCACTACTAGTTTAACATCGGCCTGCCAGACAGTTGAGGTTGCACAGACAGAGAAACAAAGGCACACTAAAAAGAATCGTACTGCTAATCCCACACTTACTGTGACTTCCATCTGTTGTCAGCACTGCTGAAGAACTGTCCTGGCTCATACTGGACTAATCAGCCACCTTCATACTCATAATCATTGCTAATTTGGATGAAAGTGGGCAAACAACAACAATGTACATTACTATTTAACTACTTCTGTCCTTCAAGTGTCTCACCTGAACGCAGATAAACCAAAAGATTTATTAATTTAAAACCCATCTTCTTGGGACAGCAGGGGATAAAGTAACAACTGCCCGGGAAGACTGTTATGTGAAAACTAAATTCCTAAACAGAAAACCACCAACAAACTCGGGTAAAAACTTACCTAATAAAGAAATCACATTTCCCAGACTAACCAGAGATTTATTGATGCTTCCTCCTTCCTTCAGCCTCTGACCGGTGGCTCCAGAAGCATCAGCACGCTCACTGTAACAATCAACAATAAAAAGGACTTTACCTGGGACCAACAGAAAACTCTTAGAATAAATCTTCTTTTTTCCCATTCACCAGCTGTAAACTCCAGCGGAAAGTTACTGCCTATGTTATACCACTTCTGCGGTGTAGGGGGGGGGGGGGGGGGGGGGGGCTTTGAGCCTGACGATTGACGGCCACATAGCTCATGCTGTCGCCACGGCTGTGCAGGCGAGGATTATATCCCCCCCCCCCCCCCCTCCGACATAAAAATATCTTCAACCTTACCAAGAATTCGAACCTCGCATGCGATCCAAGCATTTTAACAGTTTGGCCAGCCGTTCCTCGACCTCAACTTACAGATAAGTAATTTTGTGTATTCTTGCAGACAATGAAACAGTTAATGTTTCATTGTCTGTTTGCGTCATACGCTAATGACGGCTTTCTACCCACAAAATTCCTAACTGTGACAACGTGAAGCTAACTAATTAGCTCTAGTATATTTTTATGGTGTTTACTGTTCATCAGTATTTTTACATTTATTCTGCCCATTCATTTATCGTTTGTCAGTTTTTATCACCATAGACAAGCCAGATTTTTGCTTACCTTCCTGCTAGATCTACCAAATTAATCTTGCTCTGTCTCTCACTAGGCACTCCATCAAGAAATCTGGCCTGTATGTAGAAAACACAAAGTAGAATTTAAAAAAAAAAAAAACTGTCAGTCAATTTCTTACAATGACTTCAACAATTAGAAATGCAAACAACAACAACAATAACAACTCCTCCTCCACCTCCTCCTCCTCCTCCACCTCCTCCTCCTCCTTCTTTTTCTTCTTCTTCTTTTTCTTTACGTTCATCGTCTGTAAACTCCGGAAGAAAGTTTTGGTTGTTCAACCACCTCTTGACTTTAGTCTTGTTCCAGAACAGAAGTGGTGTGTGTACATCCGTTTTACGAACCTGAAATCTTTGTATGCAGATCATTGGTTTCCTGCCCCTCAGGCAGATGCACACTGACTTTGAAGGAAACCTTCAATTAGCTGACTCTTAACGATATGCTTGTCTTCCCCACAGGGCAAAAACATAACAAGAGGCAAACCACAACTCAGATCAAATATACAAAGTACCCTAAAGTGAATGCACACAGACATAATAATAGTCTGCAGCTGTGGGGACAACAAATAAATAGGTAGAATGAAATGTGGCAGCAACAGCCCTGGTTAAGAAGTCTGAAAAAGACTGGGGTGGCCAAGAACGGATCTGGATAAAGAATCTGCAGAAGTAGTCTGGAGAGAACAGACCTTGGTAAACAGCTTGAAAAGACTCTGCATGACATGAACAGGTCAGGGTTCAGAGTTTCATGAAGTCTGGTTGTGGTGTGACAGGACACAACAATGGCTGTGGTGTGACAGGGCACAACAATGGCTGTGGTGTGACAGGATGCAACAATGGCTGTGGTGTGACAGGACACAACAATGGCTGTGGTGTGACAGGATGCAACAATGGCTGTGGTGTGACAGGACGCAACAATGGCTGTGGTGTGACAGGACACAACAATGGCTGTGGTGTGACAGGATGCAACAATGGCTGTGGTGTGACAGGACACAACAATGGCTGTGGTGTGACAGGTCACAACAATGGCTGTGGTGTGACAGGACACAACAATGGCTGTGGTGTGACAGGACACAACAATGGCTGTGGTGTGACAGGACACAACAATGGCTATGTTGTGACAGGACACAACAATGGCTGTGGTGTGACAGGACGCAACAATGGCTGTGGTGTGACAGGACACAACAATGGCTGTGGTGTGACAGGATGCAACAATGGCTGTGGTGTGACAGGGCACAACAATGGCTGTGGTGTGACAGGATGCTACAATGATTGTGGTGTGACAGGATGCAACAACGACTACCATAAAAAACTGCAGTGCAGGCAGAGGAGTCTTTGAGCCTGAGGATTTAGTGCTTTGTGGCTAGAGCTGTTGTCATGGACTGGGCATGTTAGAGTTTCATTCTCTGCCCATGACAGGAAACAATTCCACAGTTGACGATTCCTTGGGTGGACCCAGAACCAGAGCGCCATGTGCCGGCTCTGCATACATGGAAGCCTCCTTGGATGGCGGGGAATGCCCATGATCTGCCCCTACCTTCCCTTGAAGGCCAACCGTTCCGCAGGGGGCTGCCCCAAAGGGGTACTCCGGGGGCAATACCTGCGGAGAAGGAGACAAAGTAGACACCACACAAATCAGGCAACGTCTCGACCCACACAAAACAATGGCCACAGTCAACCTAGAAATAGGCCCGACGTCTTCCTTCGAAGTCGGAGTACAGCTGCCCATGAGGCAGGGAACATAAAAACGGTTGTACACGCAAAACTCAGGTCCAGGTAAAAGCCAAAAGTCCAAGGGGACGATTAACTGTGACCTTCTGCCGGAATTCACAGCCGGTGAACGATAATAAATAAAAATAATTCCACAGTGACTGACCTGGGTAAAGATAATGGTGAAGATGGCATGTGATCGACTGCTGACATCATTCATGTTGGTGGCCGCTGTGGTTCTGTTGGCATTTCCTTTGTTCATGAGGTTGGCTATGGCTTCATAACTAATGACACTGTGCTTGGATAGATCTGCAGTATAAAACATGTACAGTAGTAAATGAAATCTGTTCAAGAAAAATTAAACATTAGTGCACTAGGGATATTTCCACTGATGCTCCGTCTTAATTTCAAAATGTTGCAAGGTGTTGACCCCGACCATTCAAGCATTATATTGTATAAGCATTTTGTTACACTCATGAGTCTGTCTATTCTAGACCATACTTAAATCCAAACTTAACAACCCCTCTTCTTTTATTTTCCCTTCTTATCCTAAACTTAATGAACTAACTGCCCACGGACAAGTCGGAAAAGATACATTTATGGGGACTAGGGCCTAACCAGGAGTGTTAGTTTTGTCCCTTCTCATGAAAAATAGTTGAGGGCTCTAGTGACACAGTAGTATTAAATAGGTTATTGTGTTGCTGTTGCTTATATGACTTGTAAGCATCACATCACATCTCTTGTTCATCAAGAGTTGCCAATAACTGGAGTACAGGAAGCCAAAAGATCTGCTTGCTCACTGCACTGTTCATCAAGAGTTGCCAATAACTGGAGTACAGGAAGTCAAAAGATCTGCTTGCTCACTGCACTGTTCATCAAGAGTTGCCAATAACTGGAGTACAGGAAGCCAAAAGATATGCCTGCTCACTGCACTGTTCATCAAGAGTTGCCAATAACTGGAGCACAGGAAGCCAAAAGATCTACCTGCTCACTGCACTGTTCATCAAGAGTTGCCAATAACTGGAGTACAGGAAGCCAAAAGATCTGCCTGCTCACTGCACTGTTCATCAAGAGTTGCCAATAACTGGAGTACAGGAAGTCAAAAGATCTGCTTGCTCACTGCACTGTTCATCAAGAGTTGCCAATAACTGGATTACGGGAAGCCAAAAGATCTGCTTGCTCACTGCACTGTTCATCAAGAGTTGCCAATAACTGGAGTACAGGAAGCCAAAAGATCTATCTGCTCACTGCACTGTTCATCAAGAGTTGCCAATAACTGGAGTACAGGAAGCCAAAAGATCTGCTTGCTCACTGCACTGTTCATCAAGAGTTGCCAATAACTGGAGTACAGGAAGCCAAAAGATCTACCTGCTCACTGCACTGTTCATCAAGAGTTCCCAATAACTGGAGTACAGGAAGCCAAAAGATATGCTTGCTCACTGCACTGTTCATCAAGAATTGCCGATTGCTGGAGTACAGGAAGCCAAAAGATCTACCTGCTCACTGCACTGTTCATCAAGAGTTCCCAATAACTGGAGTACAGGAAGCCAAAAGATATGCTTGCTCACTGCACTGTTCATCAAGAATTGCCGATTGTTGGAGTACAGGAAGCCAAAAGATCTGCTTGCTCACTGCACTGTTCATCAAGAGTTGCCAATAACTGGAGTACAGGAAGTCAAAAGATCTGCTTGCTCACTGCACTGTTCATCAAGAGTTGCCAATAACTGGAGTACAGGAAGCCAAAAGTTCTGCCTGCTCACTGCACTGTTCATCAAGAGTTGCCAATAACTGGAGTACAGGAAGCCAAAAGATCTACCTGCTCACTGCACTGTTCATCAAGAGTTGCCAATAACTGGAGTACAGGAAGCCAAAAGATCTACCTGCTCACTGCACTGTTCATCAAGAGTTCCCTATAACTGGAGTACAGGAAGTCAAAAGATCTGCCTGCTCACTGCACTGTTCATCAAGAGTTCCCTATAACTGGAGTACAGGAAGTCAAAAGATCTACCTGCTCACTGCACTGTTCATCAAGAGTTCCCTATAACTGGAGTACAGGAAGTCAAAACGTGACCCAGATAGTGGGTAATTGTCTTTTTCTTCTTCTACTTTCTATCCCCCCAACCATAGGGCCTCAACCAACTCACACCAAGTTGTTTTATCTTTCACTACTGCATGCAGCTCTCCCCATGTCCTCCCCATCTTTTTACTGGACTCTCTAGCCCCCTTCTCCATGTGTATGTACTTGTAGTATCGGGTCGATATTCTCAACGCTCTTAAGGAGGTAGGATGAGTAAATAATTCAGGAGATGAAACTTAAGTCAATAACAATGACAAGTTTACAAGATCTTCAGGTCAAAAGAGATGATGCCAGACATGAACACTGTACAGGTAGCCAAAGAAGAATAGTAAACCAACACAGAACTGGTGTTATCAGTCGCCACACAATGAGGGATATACTGAAGATAGGATCCAAGTGCTTATGGACTTGTCTAATGTGCAATGTAGATAATCTGTCGAATAACTAACTTGTAATTAATAATAATTAATCAATCTCAGCAACAGGACCCATCTGGATAAATTTTGTTATCATAATAACTTTGATTACATTATTATCATCATTTCGTTGTTGTCTCATATGTCACTTGGGCCTCGCACTCTAGTCCTCCATTATATCTTGTGCAATCCATTCGATATCATGGATGGAATCCAGTCGAGCCCCTTTGGCCTTTCTCAACCATGTTTATTTTATGGTTTCTTTTGTTTCCCATTTTCAGTGCTTGTTTTTTCATTCTAACTGAGCACTTACCTTGGACATAAGGCCCATCCCTGGGATGTTCCCTGACCCTGAGGTTATGGACAGATTTGTTGGAGTCCAGGCTGGAGCCTCGAAGTAGATCCCGCACCTTCTCATTGTAGATCTCCAGGTAGCTGTGTTCAAAGTTTAAAACATACAGGTCATTCAAATGAACACAAATACATCTTCTTCTTCTGCTTTATCCCTCTTTACCTCTTCTTTTCTTTCTTCTTCTCCTCTTTCTTTAACTCCTCCTTTTTTTTTCCAGCTCCTACTTGTATACCTAAATCCTTCTTCTTTCTGCCTCCTCCCCCATTTCCTCATCCTACTTCTCCTCCTCCTTCTTTACCTTCTTATTATTCTCCACCTCCTCTTTCTTCTTTTCCTTTTTCATTTTTCTTCTTCTCTTTTACCTCTTCTTTATTCTTCTCCTCCTTCTCATTCTTCACATCCTCCTTTTTCTTCACCTCCTCCTCTTCCTTCTTCGCCTCGTTATTCTTATTCTCCTCCTTTTTCTCCCTTTCTCATTTCCTCCTCCTCCTTCTTCTATGACAATATTTTACAGGTTTAGACAGTCTCACTCCCACCCAGCCTTGTAAGGGGGATATGTTTGAATTCTCTGAGTAAGCATATATGGTAAGCAAGGGAGCTGGTCATCTCACCGCATTCATCACGCATTCATCTACAGAAGAATATCTGGCGCTTCTTTGAATCGTTCCCCAAAATGGCGGCTTTAATATGATGGCGTTCAAAAAGGAGCTAAATTGGCCAATTTCTGACCATAAAATATCAAAAAATAACCAAATGCGGAGTCAGTTCTATTAAAAATATATGTGCTGGCACCGAATAACGAAACAAATGCTCTGACAGGGTCTCGGCGATACGTTGCTTGCCGACCTGCTTCTGCGAGTGTGCCTCACCGCCGAGCGTATCCCCCGCGCCGCTACGCGCGGCGCGGATGGGGGCTAAACTAGATGGCTGGGACTCACGAGTGGCAGCTACCGCATCTCCTGCAACTTCCTCCAATTACTGTACTCGTGAGTCCCAGGCACCTAGATACACTCGGCGATGAGTTTAATCGCGTTTGGCGCATGCCGACAAGTCTGACATCTACCGCTGCTAAATCCTCCAATCGGAAGAACACAGTATTGCTTATCGTTTTCATCGTCTGTAATGTCTCGAAATTGGTCAACGGTCGCTAATATCATCTGCTAGTATCGTCGTCACAGAAACGCTAGAAATTTTTGTCAACGGTCGGTATTTATCGTCTGCTACTAGTACCGTGTGCAATGTTGATAGTGATTGTCAAGTAATCCTAGTTTTGCCGCGATTTGTCCCTTGGCAGACAGTCCGTATTTTAGATATATGGGAACACCGTCGTTCGGATAATTTTGGATATTTTATGGCCAGAATGTGGCATGCCGCCATTTTAGGGAATTGATCAAAGGAGTGCCGAATATCTGTCATATGATTACCTTTACTGTTCAACCCTGTCATCTCAATACTTTTTTTTCCCTAGGTGGGTTCAGCGGCATCGTTAGGCGGGAGAAAAGAAATACTGCCCTCTCGATAAGCCTGTAGGAGGAGATGACTCATTACGGGTGTTTTTCACAAAGTCAGAGTGCAACTGCCTATAAGGTGAGAAACCAACAGTCTGCATACAAACAAGCCAGATCTGTTAAAAAACAGATGTGCATACAAAAGTCAAATTCTGGAAAAAGACCAAAATCCAGAAGTGGACAAACAACCAGGACTTTTAGTCAGAGTTTACAGCTGGTGAACATAAAAATTAAAATAAGAAGATTAATCATTATTTAAATCCCTGTGTAGGGTTTTCTCTAGAGGAAATCAGAAAGCACCCATTGCCCTCCGAATAAGCAAGCCGTAGAAGGAAAATTACTCAAATCAAATGTGTTGGGCTAAACGGCGCAAATACCACAGTCATGCTGTAAACAACAACATAACGTACAACTGTTTAAGGCAGGCCAAATGTAGAAGTAGTAAAAAAAAAAAAGTAAAGGACCCTTTTCCCCGCCTTAAGGCGTATAGGGCATATAGGGCTAGACCTATATTTTTATAGACCAATCGGCACAAGATTGGTGATGTGGTCAGTATCATGCCGGCCGCCTTCACTTTCCCGGGACTGCACCCGGTACCCACTCAAGGCTGGGTCGACCTGGGAGCCAGGGTCATTATTTTAAAAAAGTCAGGGAGCGAACCCACAACCTTCTGACCCGCGGCGAGCATCTAGCCACTCGGCCACGGCGACTCTCAATATAGAAGTAGAAGAAGAAAAATTACTTAAAACATAGAGAAACAAGTACCTGACATGGATCTGGTAAGACGCTGAGCTGTTGTCATGAAGTCGACAGAACAATGCCTGTTGACACAAACAACGAGGGGGTTGCAGTCTTCATTGCAAATCAAACATAGAATCTGAGCTTACAAGGGGTTTTAAAAATAATATTGTAATTTAACTCTTTATAGTTGAGGTGCTCTGACCAGCCAAGACAGGGGTTAGGGTTCTTCTTCTTCTTTTTTCTTAGTGTTCACCAGCTGTAAACTCCAGTGGAACGTTCTGGTTGTTTGTTCGCTGTTGGATATGGTCTTGTCCCAGAGCTTGAGTTCTGTATGCACATCCACTTGAAAGATCCGGTTGTTTGTATGCAGGCTGTTGGTTCCTCACCTGTCAGACAGATGCACTATAACTTCAAAGGAAACACTCCTTTTACAACATGCTTTGGGGAGGGGAAGAGTGGGTCTAATAACCCCCCCCCCCCCCCACCACCTTCCCATCAAATAGGGCTCTGGAACACTTACAGGAAACTTGGGTATAACTGTAGTCTTTATCTTTGTGTCTTTCTTTTCTTGATTATTTCTTTGCCACAATGGCAGATTTGTACTTCTGCTAGCCATGTCTGTCATGGTCCTGGGCTGTGAGATCTCTGCTGCTGCTGCCGTGGCAGTCCTGACAAGATCTAGTTCTTGAAGGCCTCAGGTTGGTTGTCATCCCTCATTGCTCGTCCTGCCCTTGGTGTCATCTAGTGAGTGCGTGCATGCGTGGGCGGGCGCGTGGGCGGGCGCGTGGGCGGGCCGGCGGGCGGAGGGTGGGTGGGTGTGTGTGCGTGCGTGAGTGGGCGGGCCGGCGGGCGGAGGGTGGGTGGGTGTGTGTGCGTGCATGCGTGGGCGGGCCGGCAGGTGGGTGGGTGTGTGTGCGTACGTGAGTGCATATGTGTGTGTTTGAGTGTAGGTGTGTGTATATGTAAATAAACATCTCTAGTGATTACAATCCCAGTTAAGAGTTGAACAAGGTAGTTGATTATTCAGGCGGGTGTCAGACTTTTAATTCAATCAAAACATCGACTTATAACACAATAGATACACAAAAATCTCTTCTTCTTCTTCTTTGCGTTCACCAGCTGTAAACTCCAGTGGCAGGTTCTGGTTGCCTGTCCACTTCTGGACTGCAGTCCTATTTCAGAACCTGAGTGTTGTGTGTGCATCCGTTTGACAGATCTAACTTATTTGTGTACCGACTGTTGGTTCCTTGCCTCTCAGGCAGATGCACTGTTACTTCAAAAGAAGCTCCCAATTAGTCGACTCTTACGACATGCTTTTGGGTAGGCAGTGGGTCTATTCTTGTTTTCCCTATGATAGCGATATGGCCCTGAAACCCACACAGGGAATATATACTCAAAATACATTGTTAACAAATGTGGTAGACTTTTTCTTCTTTACCGTTTACCCTTAAGAGGAATGTTGGCACACTGTGTTGTGGTTTTCAGCTAGGCTGCAATATCTGTGCCTTTTGACCCAACACATCCAATGTCATTAAATTCCTAATGGGTTGCCTTTTACGACATGTTTGTTAGGGAGCAGTCAGTCTATTCTCTCTCCCCCCACCCCCCCCCCCCCAACCTCCCAAATGGGGTCTGCGACCCACACTGGAAAAATGTGTACAATATTTTGGTTGTTAATAAAGACAGAAGGAACAACCTAGCTAATTTTACACGTTTTAGGAAGAAAATAGAAAAGTAAAAGAAAAAGTAAAGGACCCTTTTCCATGCCTTTAGGCATATAGGGCTAGACCTATATTTTTATAGACCAATCGGCACAAGATGGGTGATGTGGTCAGCATCACGCCGGCTGCCTTTACTTTCCCGGGACTGCACCCGGTACCCACTCAAGGCTGGGTCGACCTGGGAGCCAAGGTCATTTCTGAAAAAAGTCCAGCTCCGCCAGGGAGCCAAACCATGACCTTCCGATCCGCGACGAGCGTCTAGCCGCTCGGCCACGGCAACTCCCTGGAAGAATAATACTTGTCATAAAAAACATGCGACAGTCAACTTACGTTGCAGAATCTTGGTATAAGTCCTGGATCATCCTGTTTGAAAATGTGTTTACAGAAATTATCTAAATCAACACAGATATTAAAACATAATTAGTATTGTAATAGCAATGTCGGTGTCTGCGACTTGGGCGTTGCGACCGTGCTTTCATAATGCGACGCGCTGAGTTCGATTCCAGCTGCTGTAGTACTGTATTATTTTCACTGATGTTGTGGCAGTAATGACAGTGTTAAACTGCAGGCAGTGCCCATGCCCCAGGCAAAATTTAAATTTAAAAACTGAGAAAACAGAGATGATGATGATGATTATGATTATCTGGGTAATGATGACTGTAGTGGTGGTTGTAGTGATGGTGATGATGACTGTAGTGGTGGTTGTAGTGATGGTGATGATGACTGTAGTGGTGGTTGTAGTGATGGTGATGATGACTGTAGTGGTGGTTGTAGTGATGGTGATGATGACTGTAGTGGTGGTTGTAGTGATGGTGATGATGACTGTAGTGGTGGTTGTAGTGATGGTGATGATGACTGTAGTGGTGGTTGTAGTGATGGTGATGATGACTGTAGTGGTGGTTGTAGTGATGGTGATGATGACTGTAGTGGTGGTTGTAGTGATGGTGATGATGACTGTAGTGGTGGTTGTAGTGATGGTGATGATGACTGTAGTGGTGGTTGTAGTGATGGTGATGATGATGGTGGTAGAGATCAAGATGATCATGACCTAAGGTGAAAACACTGGGCTAACTAAAAATTAAACAACAAAATAATTTCAGCAGCCCTCTCCTAACCCCATCACTGTCCTATGATTTGTCAAAATCTTTCACTTTCAGTTAGGAAAGTTCATACAAATGAACGCCCTTTATTTATAAAGGGTTACAAATTGGGCACGCAGGCCTATTTTAATTCACTGTTTTCAAACACCCATCTTTCACACTCACTGTGTACTTTTTAAGCAACAAAGCATGTTATGTTTCTGTAACAAAATACACAATAAGAGTATAAGGTAAAAACACAAAGCGTGAACAGCTACAACATAAGCCATAAGTCATCTTTTTTTTGGGTCAATATCTGCCTTGTGCTGCTAGGCATCACAGTTTAACAGATGAGAGCCAGGGCGTGCTCTGTCACTTGGTGTGTTGTGATGATATCTTCTGGTTCTTCCTCTGCCACTTGGTGTGATGTGATGATATCTTCTGGGTCTTCTTCTGCCACTTGGTGTGTTGTGATGATATCTTCTGGTTCTTCCTCTGCCACTTGGTGTGATGTGATATCTTCTGGGTCTTCCTCTGCCTCTTGGTGTGTTGTGATGATATCTTCTGGGTCTTCCTCTGCCTCTTGGTGTGATGTGATGATATCTTCTGGGTCTTCCTCTGCCTCTTGGTGTGATGTGATGATATCTTCTGGGTCTTCCTCTGCCTCTTGGTGTGTTGTGATGATATCTTCTGGGTCTTCCTCTGCCTCTTGGTGTGTTGTAATGATATCTTCTGGGTCTTCTTCTGCCTCTTGGTGTGTTGTGATGATATCTTCTGGGTCTTCTTCTGCCTCTTGGTGTGTTGTGATGATATCTTCTTGGTTTTCCTCTGCCACTTGGTGTGTTGTGATGATATCTTCTGGGTCTTCCTCTGCCACTTGGTGTGTTGTGATGGTTATCTTCTGGGTCTTCCTCTGCCTCTTGGTGTGTTGTGATGATATTTTCTGGGTCTTCCTCTGCCTCTTGGTGTGTTGTGATGATATCTTCTGGTTCTTCCTCTGCCACTTGGTGTGATGTGATGATATCTTCTGGGTCTTCCTCTGCCTCTTGGTGTGTTGTGATGATATCTTCTGGGTCTTCCTCTGCCTCTTGGTGTGATGTGATGATATCTTCTGGGTCTTCCTCTGCCTCTTGGTGTAATGTGATGATATCTTCTGGGTCTTCCTCTGCCTCTTGGTGTGTTGTGATGATATCTTCTGGGTCTTCCTCTGCCTCTTGGTGTGATGTAATGATATCTTCTGGGTCTTCTTCTGCCTCTTGGTGTGTTGTGATGATATCTTCTGGGTCTTCCTCTGCCTCTTGGTGTGTTGTAATGATATCTTCTGGGTCTTCTTCTGCCTCGGTGTGTTGTGATGATATCTTCTGGGTCTTCTTCTGCCACTTGGTGTGTTGTGATGATATCTTCTGGGTCTTCCTCTGCCACTTGGTGTGTTGTGATGGTTATCTTCTGGGTCTTCCTCTGCCTCTTGGTGTGTTGTGATGATATTTTCTGGGTCTTCCTCTGCCTCTTGGTGTGTTGTGATAATATCTTCTGGGTCTTCCTCTGCCACTTGTTGTGTTGTGATGATATCTTCTGGGTCTTCCTCTGCCTCTTGGTGTGTTGTGATGGTATCTTCTGGGTCTTCCTCTGCCACTTGGTGTGTTGTGATGATATCTTCTGGGTCTTCTTCTGCCTCTTGATGTGATGTGATGATATCTTCTGGGTCTTCCTATGCCTCTTGGTGTGTTGTGATGATATCTTCTGGGTCTTCCTCTGCCACTTGGTGTGTTGTGATGATATCTTCTGGGTCTTCCTCTGCCACTTGGTGTGTTGTGATGGTTATCTTCTGGGTCTTCCTCTGCCTCTTGGTGTGTTGTGATGATATTTTCTGGGTCTTCCTCTGCCTCTTGGTGTGTTGTGATGATATCTTCTGGGTCTTCCTCTGCCAATTGGTGTGTTGTGATGATATCTTCTGGGTCTTCTTCTGCCTCTTGGTGTGTTGTGATGGTATCTTCTGGGTCTTCCTCTGCCACTTGGTGTGTTGTGATGATATCTTCTGGGTCTTCTTCTGCCTCTTGATGTGATGTGATGATATCTTCTGGGTCTTCCTTTGCCTCTTGGTGTGTTGTGATGATATCTTCTGGGTCTTCCTCTGCCACTTGGTGTGTTGTGATGATATCTTCTGGGTCTTCCTCTGCCACTTGGTGTGTTGTGATGATATCTTCTGGGTCTTCCTCTGCCACTTGGTGTGTTGTGATGATATCTTCTGGGTCTTCTTCTGCCTCTTGATGTGATGTGATGATATCTTCTGGGTCTTCCTTTGCCACTTGGTGTGTTGTGATATCTTCTTGGTCTTCCTCTGCCAATTGGTGTGTTGTGATGATATCTTCTGGGTCTTCCTCTGCCTCTTGGTGTTTCCATTTTCCTGTTGTTAGCTCTTGCAGCCAGCATCTTTGGATTCCATTCTCACTTCATGGCTGAATCATTGCAATCTTTGCTCCCCAAGAAATATAACAATGGGTAAATACTCCAGTAGTTGTTCTAATCTCCTTATTTCTCACAAGACCTTTTTTTTGGTTTTGTTCGCAGCCTTTCTTGAACATCTCTTTTCACAGGCGGTTAGTTCTCTTTCATGTTCTTGAATCCCAGTGTGACACTGGTTACCTAGAGCTGGAATAAATACTGTATTTATAATTTGTCTTTTTATCTCTGCTGGAATAGTTGGGTCTTGCCAGATTTGGGTAGGGTGATAAGTACCATTGCTGGCTTGTTGAATTCATGTTTCAATCTCTCTGTCTAGTCTAAAATTTTTGGTTTTTTGAATGCTTGTTTCAACCTCTCTGTCAAGTCTACCATTGCTAGCTTGTTGAATGCTTGTTTCAACCTCTCTGTCAAGTCTACCATTGCTAGCTTGTTGAATGCTTGTTTCAACCTCTCTGCCTAGTCTACCATTGCTCGCTTGTTAAATGCTTATTTCAACCTCTCTGCCTAGTCTACCATTGCTCGCTTGTTAAATGCTTGTTTCAACCTCTGTCAAGTCTACCATTGCTAGCTTGTTGAATGCTTGTTTCAACCTTTCTGCCTAGTCTACCATTGCTCGCTTGTTGAATGCTTGTTTCAACCTCTCTGCCTAGTCTACCATTGCTAGCTTGTTGAATGCTTGTTTCAACCTCTCTGCCTAGTCTACCATTGCTCGCTTGTTAAATGCTTATTTCAACCTCTCTGTCTAGTCTACCATTGCTCGCTAGTTAAATACTTGTTTCAACCTCTCTGCCTAGTCTACCATTGCTCGCTTGTTAAATGCTTATTTCAACCTCTCTGCCTAGTCTACCATTGCTCGCTTGTTAAATGCTTGTTTCAACCTCTCTGTCTAGTCTACCATTATGAGTCATGCGTGACTTAGAAACAAAAGGACTTACCTCATAGCCCATCATGGTATGAGTCTTCCCAGAGCCTGTCTGTCCATAGGCAAAGATGCAAACATTGTATCCGTCAAAGGCTGAGGACACAACATCCTCGCCCAGGGCAGCAAACACCTGGAAAACATCATCAGCATCAACTGGTATCGCTTATTGGGTCAACATATATTTATTTACATTTTCCTAGTTACTAACAGCCATAGTAGCACAATAGTTAGTGCATTCACTTGCAGGATCAAGGATCTTCTACCAGTCTGCCATGTGGCATTGGGAGTCATCTCTATCTACAACCTTCTATCTTATGTAATTTTAATCGGTTTTGACACATATGATCGTCCATGCAATGTCAAACTGTCCAGCATCTTCTCTCAGTCTCCATCTGCCTCTTTCCCCTTCCAACTCTCCCACCACCACCATGTACTCCAGTTTTCTTCTTCTCATTACATGAACCAAAGAATGTAGATAGTCTTCTTCAGGTGTGGGCAATCAGTTCTTTTTGTGAGGACTAGGTTTAACCCCCAACAAAAAGACAGAACAGCTCTGGGTAGGACTGACCCAGCCTCATAACATGAATACACAAGGCAAATTACAGAAATTATGTAGGAAAGACAATGGGGAAAGGAACTGTCCAGCCTACTTTATTCTGAAGTGAACTAGAATATATGAAGAGCTGACAATATTGATTAATTAAGAATTGACATCACAGCACACTGGACATTCTCACAAGCCCTCCATCCCCATCTTCAGTAATAAGAGAAGAGTTCCAATTCCGATGGTACCAGTAAAAGTCTGATTGTATATCTGTTTCGCCTTTCCCTTAAGTGTTGATCAATTGCAAGATTCCCTGGTCACTCCTCGCAGCACCTTTCTCCTCAGACCGTGATGATCCATCTGTGCCTCCACACTGATTACTCACCCCCCCCCCCCCCACTCGTTGTGTAGAACTAGCCAGTTTATCCACCTGTTCATTTCCTAATACATCGGCATACCCACAGAAAATATCCAAAGGACACTAACTACCCAGGACCTCGACGCTGATGCTTGCCACTCTTCAGGCTGCATACTGGTCTCCAACTTTCTCAACATGTTCTGTGAGTCTGTTACAAATACAACATGTGTACACAGTTGATTCTCAAGCCAGCAGAAAGCTGCAGTGACTGTCTCCACCTCTATTATCTAACTAGAAGTTGTGGCGTCATAGCCAGGCTTTGTTGCACTAAGCGACATCCGTTCACTTTTGCTATAAACCCTGGGGGTTCTCGTCAGAGCTACAGGGTTCATGCTTTGTTCAGCATTCTCAGCAGAAGGCTGGCAGTTATGTGGAGAGAGACAGCCACAGAGGATAAAACCTAGCACAAAGAAGTAGATCTCACATTTAACCTTTACTTAACACCTAAGGAATGCCTGATGCCTAATTTAAGCTGTGATGATCTCAAACTGCTTTCTTTAAACCAGAATTCTTTAGGATTCTAATAAATGACCACTAAGCTGGCATGCAAGCTTGCTAGTTACTGTACAGAAATGATTATGCAAGCATGAGAGTGCAAGATCTTATTTCTCCCCACACCTTAGGGTAGAAGTACAAGATTACAAGATCTTATTTCTCCCCACACCTTAGGGTAGAAGTACAAGATTACAAAATCTTATTTCTCCCCACACCTTAGGGTAGAAGTACAAGATTACAAGATCTTATTTCTCCCCACACCTTAGGGTAGAAGTACAAGATTACAAGATCTTATTTCTCCCCACACCTTAGGGTAGAAGTACAAGATTACAAGATCTTATTTCTCCCCACACCTTAGGGTTGAAGTACAAGATTACAAGATCTTATTTCTCCCCACACCTTAGGGTAGAAGTACAAGATTACAAGATCTTATTTCTCCCAACACCTTAGGGTAGAAGTACAAGATTACAAGATCTTATTTCTCCCTACACCTTAGGGTAGACGTACAAGATTACAAGATCTTATTTCTCCCTACACCTTAGGGTAGAAGTAAAATATTACAAGATCTTATTTCTCCCCACACCTTAGGGTTGAAGTACAAGATTACAAGATCTTATTTCTCCCAACACCTTAGGGTAAAAGTACAAGATTACAAGATCTTATTTCTCCCAACACCTTAGGGTAGAAGTACAAGATTACAAGATCTTATTTCTCCCCACACATTAGGGTAGAAGTACAAGATTACAAGATCTTATTTCTTCCCACACCTTAGGGTAGAAGTACAAGATTACAAGATCTTATTTCTCCCCACACCTTAGGGTAGAAGTACAAGATTACAAGATCTTATTTCTCCCCACACCTTAGGGTAGAAGTACAAGATTACAAGATCTTATTTCTCCCCACACCTTAGGGTAGAAGTACAAGATTACAAGATCTTATTTCTCCCCACACCTTAGGGTAGAAGTACAAGATTACAAGATCTTATTTCTCCCAACACCTTAGGGTAGAAGTACAAGATTACAAGATCTTATTTCTCCCTACACCTTAGGGTAGACGTACAAGATTACAAGATCTTATTTCTCCCTACACCTTAGGGTAGAAGTAAAATATTACAAGATCTTATTTCTCCCCACACCTTAGGGTTGAAGTACAAGATTACAAGATCTTATTTCTCCCAACACCTTAGGGTAAAAGTACAAGATTACAAGATCTTATTTCTCCCAACACCTTAGGGTAGAAGTACAAGATTACAAGATCTTATTTCTCCCCACACTTTAGGGTAGAAGTACAAGATTACAAGATCTTATTTCTTCCCACACCTTAGGGTAGAAGTACAAGATTACAAGATCTTATTTCTCCCCACACCTTAGGGTAGAAGTACAAGATTACAAGATCTTATTTCTCCCCACACCTTAGGGTAGAAGTACAAGATTACAAGATCTTATTTCTCCCCACACCTTAGGGTAGAAGTACAAGATTACAAGATCTTATTTCTCCCCACACCTTAGGGTAGAAGTACAAGATTACAAGATCTTATTTCTCCCAACACCTTAGGGTAGAAGTACAAGATTACAAGATCTTATTTCTTCCCACACCTTAGGGTAGAAGTACAAGATTACAAGATCTTATTTCTCCCCACACCTTAGGGTAGAAGTACAAGATTACAAGATCTTATTTCTCCCCACACCTTAGGGTAGAAGTACAAGATTACAAGATCTTATTTCTCCCCACACCTTAGGGTAGAAGTACAAGATTACAAGATCTTATTTCTCCCCACACCTTAGGGTAGAAGTACAAGATTACAAGATCTTATTTCTCCCCACACCTTAGGGTAGAAGTACAAGATTACAAGATCTTATTTCTCCCCACACCTTAGGGTAGAAGTACAAGATTACAAGATCTTATTTCTCCCCACACCTTAGGGTAGAAGTACAAGAGTACAAGATTACAAGACCTAATTTCTCCCGACACCTTATACTAGAAGTATAAAACTACAAGATCTTATTTCTCCCTACACCTTAGGGTAGACTTACAAGACTACAAGACCATATTTTTCTTCAAACCCTAAACCTTCTTCTATAATTGTAATTTTCAAATAATGTGATCAGGAAAATCAACACAAAGAAACATATGAGGACGGGGGGGGGGGGGGGGGGGGGGGTTAAATAGTCTAGAGGTGAAAAGGGAGGGGGGTTTCACTCACACCTAAAAATTATGTAGAAGGGGGAAGGATTGAGTACTGGCACCCGTAAGTGCAAAAGTCAGTTGGCTGCAGCAAGTGGCACATAAAAAACATCTGTCGTTTCTCTAAACATACAGTAGCAAAAGGTCAATAAGCCTGACCTTTTCTTGTGATGCAAAATTGCTATCATCCTCATCCAGTGACCAGAAGGAATGATCAAAGGTGAACTCCCGAATCTTCAGCTGTTCTCGGGCACTGTCCCCCTCACCTCTGTGATCTGGAACCTGTGAGTTGCAGTGAATGTTGGAGGGTAGAGATTGAAACTGACAGAACAAAAATCAACAGGCACATCCTGATAACATGAGAATTCTTTTCACTGTCAATGATTATCAATGGACCCTTCTGACAATATTCTTCTTCTTCTTCTTCTTCTTCTTCTTAGCGTTTATTGGCTGTAAACTCTGGCAGAAAGTTCTGGTTATTTGTCCAATAATGGATCTTTTTTTTGTTCCAGAAAGTGAGTTTTTCACGCATATCCGTTTTACAGATCTGCTTTATTCGCATGCGGACTGTTAGTTCCTTGCCTTCCGGGCAGATGCACTCCAACTTCACAGGAAACACCCCTAATTAGTCATCTTTTACTAAATGCCTGTTTGCATGCAGTGGGTCCTTTCTGCCCCCAAAATGGGGTCCCAGAACCCACACAAGGAAGCACACGGCATCAGTTCTAAATCTAAATTTTAATAGATGATGATGATAAGAGGGGACACCAGAATGATATCATCAGAAAACTTTAACACAAGTCTTCAGAACCACTAATTTAATTACACAATCCTATCTATGTAAGACAGCGTAAGTCTTCTTTATGTGAGACACAGTATGTTTGTATATCTTCCTCTTGTTTGTTCACCAGCAGTTATCAGATGAGAAGGCAACAGGCTTCTACAAAGTCTGTGGTGCGACACCTGTCCTCCACTGATACATTCAGCTTGGCTTCCACCAGAATGCTAAGCACCAGGCCTGGAATCATCTCTACTGCATATAGAAAGCATGTCTGTAACGCATGTTCAGTTGTCAATGTCTACTTGGACACAGTTCAGAATACCTAATATTGAAATTCTCGGTTATTAAAACCGTCTCCCCACGAAAAGTAGGTCAATTTCATTGATAAGTTTGTTGGACTAGTCTACCGTGGTCATGGTTATGGGTGTTTCAGTATGTTGTTGTGTTGCATTTACGTTTTCATTTTGAGAAAGAGAGTGCCTGTGACATAGGTTTCATCACTCGCTAGGGGAGTTGTGTGTTAGACCCAGTTTCTAAATGTTTTTATAGTGTTAAAAGTGAAATATACAACACGTGATATCGACGGCATTGCGAAACAGCCCTGTTGTGTGAAAGTCGGATGGCTTGAGGCCAAGCAATCAGAAGTGAGGTGGGTTGAAGGTCGACCAATCAGAAGCGAGCTAGTGTGTGCCAGTGTGTAGAATGGGGGGGGCGGGGGGGGGGGGGGGGGGAATTATCTTTTGTTTTACTAAATTCTCATACATGTGCCTCCTTCACAGTCTGTTGTGCCCAGGTTCACAATCTAAATATGTAATGACCACATTAAGGATTTGCGGCGTCCGTGGCTAAGGCGTTGCGAGTCCGACTCGTAATTCCAACCTACCGCGATCGAAACCCACTGCTGGCTGTGTGGATTTCTTTCATGATATGGGGCGTCACAGGTCGACCCAGCCTAAAATGGGTACCAGGATGGCTGTCCTGGGGAAGTAAAGACGGCCGGCGTAATGCTGACCACATTACCCACCTAGTGCCGATCGTTTGTAAAAATATGGGCGCTCTTCCCATATGCCCGATGCGCCTAAAGGCCTGAAAAGGGATCTTAACTTTTTTTTTACATTAGGGATTTTCCGAGACGTACAGAGGACACAGAGACTTCCCAAGTTCCTGGGAAAGCAATCCTGAGCCAATGAATGTGAGAGTCTTAGAGGAACAAGAGTTGAAGAGGATCATCAGAAAATAAATGGCCTCTTTCATTTATGTGAGGAGATTGAATGGGTCTTCAGAATTGTGTCCTATCCTTGCATCCACTTCTACACTTGAAACCGTCCTGTTAACACTGATACTAAACATTTACACAAGAGGGTCTTATTGCAATGCACGTAACTCCGTAATATCAGCTAGGACCCTGCAGAAAGCAAAACCATAGAAAATCACTCTATGTTAGTTTTAAGAAGAACAAGCATACATTTTCTGTGGTAAATGACAGTTACAATGTCACCATATTGCGGTGAGAAAAAAACCCCACACATGGAAGCCACCTGTCATTACATAAACCAGAATAGAATGGGAGTTATTAGCCTAAAAACACTTAAAGACAAACTTAGCAGGAAATTGGAGCACTCATAGTCAAATCCAACCCAGCAGGAGATCGGAACACTTATAGTCAAATCCAACCCAGCAGGAGATCGGAACACTTATAGTCATGTCCAACCCAGCAGGAGATCAGAACACTCATAGCCATGTCCGACCCAGCAGGAGATTGGAACACTTATAGTCATGTCCAACCCAGCAGGAGATTGGAGCACTTATAGTCATGTCCAACCCAGCAGGAGATTGGAACACTCATAGCCATGTCCAATGTGCGATGAAGATGATCTTTAAATAAACAATCAACATGGCTAACACTGACCTTGGGATTGATAATCCTGGTCTTGTTGTCCTCCATCTGTATAATACAATGACTGGACAGGCCATCTTCCCTGTAGAAGAAAATTCACAACTCTAGTTAGACTCACATTTTCCATGACCAACTGCCAAAGAAAGGCCAGTATACGTTCAGTAAAATATCTGAGTATGTGATTAGTGACGGCATCTGTGGCTAAGGCGTTGCGAAATTGCTCCGTAATGTCAGGATGCCATATAATACTCATATAATCACATGCGATCAGTATACTGTCTGCATGTGGTTTGTATGTAGTAAGTATACTGTCTGCATGTGGTTTGTATGTAGTAAGTATACTGTATGCATGTGGTCTGTATGTAGTAAATATACTGTCTGCATGTGGTCTGTATGTAGTAAGTATACTGTCTGCATGTGGTCTGTATGTAGTAAATATACTGTCTGCATGTGGTCTGTATGTAGTAAGTATACTGTCTGCATGTGGTCTGTATGTAGTAAGTATACTGTCTGCATGTGGTCTGTATGTAGTAAGTATACTGTCTGCATGGTTTGTATGTTGTCTGTCTGTTGTCTACATGTGGTCTGTATGTTATCTGTATGTTGTATGTCTGTTATCTGTATGTGGTCTGTATGTTATCTGTATGTGGTCTGTATGTTGTCTGTCTGATGTCTGCATGTGGTCTGTATGTTGTATGTCTGTTATCTGTATGTTGTATGTCTGTTATCTGTATGTTGTATGTCTGTTATCTGTATGTTGTATGTCTGTTATCTGTATGTTGTCTGCATGTGGTCTGTATGTTGTCTGACTGTTATCTGCATGTGGTCTGTATGTTGTCTGTATGTTGTATGTCTGTTATCTGTATGTTGTCTGTCTGTTGTCTGCATGTGGTCTGTATGTTGTGTGTCTGTTACCTGTATGTGGTCTGTATGTTGTCTGTCTGTTGTCTGCATGTGGTCTGTATGTTGTCTGTATCCAGTTAGTATGGTGTCTGTAGTTTACATGTAGTCAGTATGTGTGATGATGATGATGAATCTTTTCTTTCTTCCTCCTGGACGTTCACTGACTGTTAACCACGGCAGAAAGTTCGTTTTTTTTCGTCTATTTCTGGGCTCTGGTCTTAGCCTGGAACTTGAGTTGTGCATGCCCATTTGTTTTACAGATCTGGCATATTTTTATGCAAACTATTGGTTCCTCGCCTCTCAGACAGATGCACTCCAACCTATGTTGTGCTTGTTAGGGGGGCAGTGGATCTATCCCCCCCCCCCCCCTGGAATCTAAAAGAGGAGATGATGAAAAATCTACTTTCTATCAAACCCCACACCACCAGGCTGAAAGGTAGTGCCCAAATGTAGACCCAACTACACCACCTCCCTGTCCCCATGCACCCACACCCAGCCCCCATGTATTCCCTTTGTTGTGATAAAACTTTGTTGTGCTAAGAACCACCCAGACTCGGCAGTTATCACAGCAGCAAAACATTCACTCATTTTCCTGAAAGCAGAGGGGGAGAATGGAAGGGGGACAATTAGTCAGAGATGTCATAACATGTGTGACACCGTTTAAAAACGGGTGACGCCCACTCTATTGACTCCTGCCTTCTCTCTCCCGCTCCCCGAATTTCTTCTTACACCATTGATTTATTATGCATATGGTCGTAAACTCCTAATTTGCTTTTTTTTTATAGACTAATTGGCTCGTCGGGTGATGTGGCCAACGTCAATCCAGCTGCCTTGACTTCCCAGGGCATCTCCTGCTTCCCATTTCAGGTTGGGTCAAGGTTGAAGCCAACATTAATTACCACACATTTATGCCGATTTTGATTCGAACTGAAGAGAGGGAGCTCATTAGTCATCAGAGATGTAACTGCAGACGTGACTCATTTAGACACGGGCGACACCCAACACAATGATTTCTCCCTACGCCACTATTATTATTATATATAATACAGTTAACCATAAGGGACGGTCAACAAGTAATGTCTCCTATTTTTTAATCTACGCAATTACTAAAGACAGTTAACTATGAGGGACAGTCAACAAGTTATGCTCCTATTTATTATCTACGCAATTACTAAATACAGTTAACTATGAGGGACGGTCAACAAGTAATGTCTCCTAATTATTATCTACGCAATTACTAAATACAGTTAACTATGAGGGACAGTCAACAAGTAATGTCTCCTATTTATTATCTACGCAATTACTAAATACAGTTAACCATGAGGGACGGTCAACAAGTAATGTCGCCTAATTATTATCTGCGCAATTACTAAATAAACGGAAGTAATGGTTATATCAAAGAAGAAGATAACTCCACATTGTGATGTCTCAACTGTAGGAAAAAGACCTAATCAAGTCAATAAATTCAAATATCTGGGAACAATCATATCATCAGATGGAAAATGTGTGACACAGAATAAAAGCAGAATAGGTCAAGCGAAGGCAACATTTCAGAAAACAAAAAATATGCAATAAATCGCTCTCATTTAAAGTCAGAAAGAGGGTGCTAAAATGTTACACAGAACCTGTTCTGGTGTATGGTAAAAAATCTTGGAATGTCAGTGAACAAATTAAGAAGAATTTGGGAGTAACAGAGATGTG